AATTTCATTTCAACTTACACAAACAGCTACTCTCAATTTTTAAAATTTTTTCAATCCACTTTGAATAAAATAACTTTTAAATATCAAATTTAAACTTTTCATCTGAAAATATCTAAACATAAAAGTTTTTCGTCTTCCGAATTTACAACTTTTGATTCTCTTTACCAAAATCTCTCATATCAATTAATATTTTTGCAATTTATTTTACATACAGCTGAATAAATAAAAATTGCACATAATATCTAAACTTCTTCATCTTTCATGTTTTTAAAATTTTATTTATTTGATTTGAATACTGATATTTTAAGAATATATTTTTTAAATTTTTTAAAAAAATTCTTGTAATAATAAGATTTTAATTTTCAAGGTAAAATAAAATAATGTCTTGAATTTTAATTTATTGATATAAAAATCAAATTATGTAATATAAAAATTCAAATTAATTCAGTTTTTTAACAAGTAAAATAATCTGACAAAAAAATTTTCAAAATATGAATATTGAACGAGAACAATCTTTGAAAATCATAACTTATTTTAACCTTAAATAAAAAAAATTAGTTGAATATAGAATGTAATTTTTTCATCAACTATACATATATTAAAAATATAGAGTATTTTTATTTTTATAATTAATTTTATATCTAAATATAGGATCTTGATTAAATGTTTAATTGTAATTTCAAAATAGTAAAAATTATATAAAAATTTTTGATAAAAAAATTTATCGATAAAATTGATAATTAAATCAATAATCAAAATTTAATCATTTGAGTTTTATTTAATTTGATTTTTTTAAATTTATAATTTTAAGTCTAGGTAGAATTGGACATAAAACTGAAACATGGAGTGACAATGACTAAATTCAGCAATAATACATGACTTTGAATGAAATTTTCATAGTCTTCCGAATCCACGAGCAGTTATCCCGATCGAAGCGTATCTTCAAACCTTCTTGATCTTTGACGTTCTGAAACCAGTCGAAGCGTATCTTCAAACCTTCTTGATCTTTGACGTTCTGAAACCCAGTCGCAGACAATACCTAAATCCAGCAATATCTTCAAGTAATACGGTTCCATCCATCTGCAGGTCCAAAATTAAAAAATGTAGAATATTATTATTTTCATAAATAATTTTACATATATATACATGCTATCCAAATGACATATTTGATTATAATTTAAAAAAAATTTAATTTTTTTTTTTATTTATAAAATTATTGATAAAATTGATACTAAAATTAATAATCAAAATTTAGTAATTTGAGTTTTTTTAATTCCAACTTTTTGAAATCTATAATTAAACTCATGACTTGAAAATTTTTAAATTTATCTTAAATATATTTATTTAAAATTATCTAATTTACAATATAATTTTTAAAATTTTTTAATTTTATTCTATTCAGGTTAATTATTGTGAATTCTAAATTAATTTTCCCTAATATCAAAGATAAATGTAATAAAAATAATATAATACAGGAAAATAAAAATAAATCGGAGACTTTTTGAAATATAAAGATATTAAGAATTTTTAACAATTTTGTATTTGATTTCAATTAGGAACAAAAAATTATCTCTTCTCCTATATCATTTTTATTAATCTTTATATGGAATAGCATTAAAAAAATTAAAACTTTCAAATTTTATTTTCATAATACTTATTAAAAATTTTAATAAATTTTCTACTTATAAGAGTGATTATTCTCATACTTGAAATTGTTTCATTTAGTTCTTAGGGTAAATTTATTCAAAAATATTATTTAAAAAAATATTTCTTATTTATATATAAAAGTTAATTTATATGTAAATTTGAATCACTGTACATGGATTTTTTTTGTAAACATCAATCTGATTATTTTAAAACATGTGAAAAAAATTAATAATATATCATTTGAAATATAAATATAAATTTATTAGCTAGCTTCAAAAATAATTTCATTTATATTATCAAATTAATATTTAATTGTGATTAAAAATGATATTTAAAAAATTATTAAAAAATTAATTGAATACTGTAAATTTTTTATATTTAGTTTTTAAGCTAAATTTCATCATAGATGATCAATAAGCCCTTTTACACTCACCACCAAACTAGTTTAACAATTTGAGCAAGTAAAAAAACCGCTTTAAAAAAATACAAAATCATAAACTTAGTGCACTGAATTCTCTCTTGAAACACAATTCTTAAACATTTCAAAAATTTTTAAGATATAAAAGAAAACATTGTAATGTTTTGGTATGTTTGTAAACAACACACATTAAGTTTGTTGTTGACAAGCATACCAGGACACCTCTAACAAGACAATTTATTTTTAAAAAACATGCACCACCATCAATTATTTATACTATACACTTATATATTAATAAAATATTATAAAAATATTATAAATTAAAAAACGTACTAAAATTTTGAAAAAAATGAAATTAATTTGTTTATTGACAATTTTAAAGATGATTTTTGTATTTAGAAAAATTGGAAAATAAAAATTTTTATTTTTTCAAATATTTTTTAAATTTTTAATATTAAGATTCACAATTTTGTAAAAAATATTTTTTAATGGAAAATATTTTTTATTATATTTAATGGTTATTTTGAATTGAAATCAATGTGTATATAACCAGCTAAATATATATAAATTTTTTAAAAGCATTTATTGATTGGGTTTAAAATTTTCTATACTTTATTTCAAATCTAATTTAATTATTATAAAATTTCTACATAGAAATTTATAGAAATAAATAAATAAATATATTAAGATCAGTATATTATGAAATTAAGATATGTTTTAGAATTTTTTTTTAATCAACGATTCAATGAATTCTGAAGCAATTTAATTTATACAATATAATGATTTTTCAGTTTTTATACATATAAATATTTAGTATATTTATAGACATATTTTTTTAACTCAATTCATTTAAAATATAGTGAATGGCATATGTATATATGTATATAAATCGTAATATAGAATAATGAATTGCAATATCATATTATTAAATTTGATAAAAAATATGAACAAATTCAACATCATCAAAAATTAGATTCAACAAAAACTTCATCAAACTGAATTTATTTCATTGACAATATTATAATATTTCAACACCTATAATCAAATTATATATATTATAAAACGATCACACTGAGAACGGCCCACTCGTCAAGACCACTACCAAGACACAGAGAGCATTGCATTGTCGTCCAGAGTCTTGGTTCGAATTCTGCCGATTTATCCTCATTCGTTGGGGATCTCGAATGAGTGACAAGGTAAACATACCTCTAGGAATTTCATTCTCAACAATAGACACATATGTTATGTCATGCCATCAGCTCCACTTGATTGGATTTCCTTTTACGCTCTCTGGTTGGTCCGTACTGTCGACGCAGACCTATGGGGAGCATGAGTGACCTCTATGGAGTCGCATCTATATTCTTTTGCAAAGTACCGCATTTGTGATTGTTTTAACATTAGATGTGTTCATTTTAACATTCTCATATATATATATATATATTTATTTATTTAACACTAACTAACTTTGATAAGAGAATGATGAACTAATAAACTCGGTTATGGGATTTATACTTTTCACTTTTGTCACTTCGGCTTTGGCTGTTCAACACTTTGGCAATTTTAGCACTAGGTCATATTGACAGTTCCATTGGTTTGGCGCTTTTGCTCTTTTGGGTCTTCAATACTTTGACACTTGAGCAGTTTGGTAGTTTAAATATTTGGTGGATTTGGCGCAGGCTCGGCTCCTTGGCTATGTTAGCCAAAAGCCATGTTACTACAAGAAAATGTCATATATAGATAATTGCAAGCATCAACAAACGTTTGAGAAAATACAAAAGAGAGTGAATAGCTAAAAGGATGAATATACTCTTCAATACGGCGATGACGAATCTGTACTTGGTTGAAGAGTACAGTTGCAGAAGTCGTTATCATCGATCTAACACGTGTTATATTTTTTGAGGAGATTATAACTCATCTTTCAGGTTTGTATCGCGGCAGCAATCAAGGTATCTAAGTAGAGGAAAATGTATAAGGGTAAACACTTTGCACACTTAGATTTGGAGTTATGTGTAGCTATGGATCCGAACTTCTTGGTGATAGAGTGCACTGAAGCTAGAAAACTTGTATCGAATCCTCCACAAAGATCACTTACAAACGTTATTCATAGAAGAACAATCACTATAGTTCATGGTAACATTCGAAGCTTATGTTGTTTGCACAAATAGCTCATGTACATGATAGTTCATGTATAGTAGGTGTTGTGTGATATACTCCTCATCACCATATTTATTTTCACTGTATTTCTAAACTCATACAAAAGATTACTTGATTTCTCGAGGGTGGCTATCTGGTAATCGTGAAAGCAAGGAGAGAGGGCAATTGGCTGCTGAATTCAGATTCCGCCTTGCTCGAATTCCATATCAGAGATCATGAACTAGAAGCTAGTACTCTAAGCCTTGGCAGCGTGCTGCTACTGTGAACACTGGAGATGTGAGCTCACCTTTTGTAAGAACCAGATTCCAGCTTCATATCTGGAGCGCCTCCACCGAACTTGCAACCGATCTCCCCGAGATCCAGTTTTTCACGGCAAATGAGAATCTGTATTGTATGTTGCACTGTGTTCCCCTCCTCTTTGCCAGGGTGGCAGGCAGGCAGGCAAGCGGTCAGTCTATTCTCATCCATCACACCTGATGCCGCACATGCAGATCAGCTCAAGAGGAATTACAGTGCAAGCAGTCGCAAAGATTCACAGGAAGAACGCTAGGCTGGGATCCGAGGGCCATATGATAGAGCCTCTTCTCAGGGGCTCCGTACATCCCTCCCAGTACTGGGCGATGGGTGCGCACACTTTTGATGATCTTCATGAATGTGATGCCGCTCCGATCGGCAGGGCGATCTCGCATGTATGTTGGTGCACGCTGGACAAATCATATTCTTGGACATCTCAGTGTCCAACGGAGTTGAAATTGTTGAAATCTACCAGCTGCGGCTCCACGATCGCAAGAATGGGGATTATTCTTGTAATATCTCACTGTAAAAGAGAAATTGACCTCTGAGATGGGCCACTGCACCCATGCCACAGTGCAAGTAAAAGGAGGTGGTGAATCATCTGTCGATCATCTCGCCAGCCGCCTGTTGTTCCGGCAAAATGCTGGGGCGGTCATCAGTTCACGATGTAGCTGAAATCCGGGGCCAACTCAAATACAGCAGTCGGGCATGTGCCATATGCAGTCACTGTGCCTCCTTGTGGGAGGTGAGACGAATGCGGCGCTAGCCTTCATGAGCTTGAGGGAGTGAGATGAGGATCAGGTCCAGCTCAGAAGAGCACATTGTTCGGGGATATCTTCTGCGTTGACAACCATGAAAGTTATTTCTTGAGCAAGTTATCGGTATCACCCAGCTTTCTTCGATCAGGCCGATCAGGCTTGATCTCTGTCTACCTCTCGGATCATCATCTCTTCAGAATCTGCAAAGAGATAAATTCTTCCTACATCGATATCGATCGGTGTTTCTCACGTAGAGTCTTCTCATCTGGGGCTACCTTGTTCTGTGTCTGATTTAGTGCTGCATTCTCTTCACAATGACGGACCCTCAGGCTAAGTACGGCGAATGGGCCACGGGAATATGCGGCTGCCTCCAGGATATGCGTTCCTGTAAGTCATTCTCATTCAGAGTCTCGGGCAAAGAGAGAGAGAGAGAGAGAGAGAGGAATGTTTGTCAATCAGGAAGCTCAACGCTCGAGACTTAAGACAAAGAAATGGATAATGGACGCAAATTTGTTGTTTTAGTAGTCTTTTTTCTCCCTTGATATGAACTCCAATGCAGAAAAGTTTTGGAACAATTATACGGAGGCTCTGAAATAACTGCAGCTGTCTGCGATCATCGATGGATAGAGCAGTGCAAGCTTTCATCATCATCTGCGAAGAGCTTGTGACTTCAAACACAATTGCAAGCCTTAGGCACGATAGCGAAAGTTTAAAGTGGAATTTTGCTCTGGACTCATACAGGTTGCTGCGGGTGGTGTTGTCCATGCGTGCTGGTCGGGCGAATTGTTGAGATCATTGATCAGGGTGCTACTTGTAAGTTTACCTCAAGACTATCTCAAAGTAGCGAAACTCAGTATTAGTTCTATTTCTCGTGGCAGTTTTTTCAGCAGACTGACTGAGTTTCATGTAACAGCGCTACGAAGATTTCTGCCGATATATAATATTCCCCAAGCTCTATGATGTACGACATATGGAAGGTCTAGATCCTGTCAAAATGCTCTGCAATTTACGTACGTTATAATCACACTGTCGCACTCTTATGCCGCCGTTTGTTGCAGCAAACAAAGCAGGATGTTGCACTTTCTGCTTGCTCGCCTCCTGCACCGGTTTCGCTTGCTTCTACACGTTTGGTTACCGTGCCAAGCTGCGAGCAAAGTACGGTTTACCCGCGGAACCTTGCGCAGATCTGTGTACAGATTGTTTCTGTTTGACATGCTCCATTTGCCAAGTTTACCGTGAGCTGCAAAAGCGCCTCGGAAGCCTCGATAAAGGTGAGCTTCATCGTCTTTCCTTCCATGACCTCCTGCCGTTTCAAGAGCAGTTAATAAGTCTCTGTAATCAGCACCAAATTCAGTCACTCCCACTCTGTTCCACTAGCGCGTCAGAATCTGCTTTTGTATTTTGTGCTGTGAGATATGTGATATGAGCGGAGAAGAACTCTTCGGGAGATACGAAGATTAACAAGGCTGGCATGGGTTCCCTAATTGACAGGGTACTCGCCAAGCATCAAGGAACGCTATGAAGCGCCAACGCAAACAGTCTACGATAAGCCGGCTGTTTATGATGAGCCACCACAAGAACAATCCATGAGTCAAGATGAGCATCACAATTGACGACTTAAATTGGCGAGCTTCGAATCTGTTCTAAGAGGAGGCGGATTCTCAAAGAGTTAACTACGTGATTGCTGCTATTGAAGTTTCCGTCGGTCAGCCCGTCGCTGAGACAGCACTTTCTTGTTCATGGGAATTGCGCAGCGTTTCTTCACTCATGTGACGCAAGACATGGATCTAATCTGTGCAATGTCTCAGAGTCAGCTTCCAAGAGAGGCAGACATCACCACAGCATCCCCATGGCTTCGATTCTTCAGTCTCGTTTGAAACCCAAGGGCTACGAGATGCACTGATCGAACTTTTGCCTTTACTGATACACTTCCGAATATTTTTGGTGACGATGATTTCCTAGACTCTTCCAGAAGAGAGAGATATGTGTATCATCAACAAGTATGACTTTCCCTCGCCTGCAAAAAATACTTCGTATGAACGCTAGTGCCGTCATTCTCCAGAATATTTTCAACCATGTGACCAAAGATTAGAATATGGCACTCTCTCTATCTCCCTCCCTCACCCACTCACTCAATGTAGTAGACATAGCTCATCTTGCCCGATCATCCGGGTGTTTCGATGGTACTCCAGGTAGGCAGACAGTGGTAGATAGATACTCATCATCATCATCGTCATCAAAACTCTCGGCGTCAACTTCAGATAGAAGTAGAACATCTAGCGATAGAAGCATCCATGATTTTGAACACATACATATTCAACAGGTCAATGACTACTAGTGTACCTTTCTCGTCAGTTTTAGCGAAAGCATCCACTTCCGACTTGTAAAATGTCAAATCTTTGAATTGTACCTTTTGGGATTTGTGCAATCACTCTTCGACTCTTCGCACCGTGAGGCCATGACAACCCAACAGGCTTGAGTGAACATGCAGGCACGGGACAGGAACCATCATTCTTCCCATACCTGGCATCTCGATCGCGTCGTAGTGAGAGACGAGGCTCTCGTCGAAGCACCAGCTCTTGTCGATTCGAGACTTCATTGCACGACACTTCGAAGCTTGCTGCTGCTCACGAGGCTTCGAAGATGGGCACCTCGTGTCCACGCGCCGACCCGGACGAGAGCGGGGCAACCGTTGGAGCCGCGCATCTCCCATCCGTTTCCTCCAAGACTCGAGCTCTTCGGAGATCTACTCTCGAGCCATTCCGTTCCACTCCATCCATTTGCATGAGGAGTCCAAGGTTTAAGTAACCCTAGTAACCTTAACCCTAGTTCTGTCCGGGTTCGGAGCTGAGGGACGCTCCAAAAGCCCAGAAAATTGCCCGAGAGCCTTCAGAGTTCAACGGGAAGGTGCTCCATTCGGAGGTGCCCGCTTGGCACATGTGCCAGAGAGTCCCACTGGATAAATTCTAGACTCTGATAAGATTTTGCGGGTCGATCTAGATGCCCAGCGCCGCTGCTTTTCGAACCGAGTCACAGTGGACGATAAGCGTTTGCATTGGTGCATAATGGTTCTGATGCCAAATCAGCTTCGTGATATGATGTTATATAGTTTTTACATGTGAACAGAAATTGTACACAGTGTTTCAGTCCTTTCCTTTTAGCAGGCCACACAGTACACCAGCGAGTAGAAATTGTGCAACGATTCTTGACAGTGATATTCTGAAACGTCTGATCTTTTGCAAGCTTCCATGCCACCACAAGTTCGCGTTGTTATGACTCCAGAAATGTTAAACATTTGGAGAACATATGATCAGAAAAATGGAGCATTAATCAATTTTCTCATTTGATATTCATGATTTAATCAAAACGAAATTTTTTTTGGAGAAAATGAATTAAAGGCTAAATTTCCAAGCTTGAAATTTCTACATTGTTATTAAACTTGATAAAAAAAATTTATGCGTAGTCAAGGTAATATTGGTTTGTACTATAACTCACACTTTCAAATGAATTTATATTTCATATATCTCACGTTAAAGTCAATGTATGTATGTATATATAGTATATATATATAAATTTATTTGAAATATGATTCAATAATTGGTAATTTTTTTTTATATCTTTTCCTCACTTGAAATTACGTTTTTTTATTTCATTCAAACAAAAGATTTATGTGCCAACCAAAAGCAGCATTAAATTTGAAAATCATAACAATTGAGAGTAAATTTCTGTTCTAAGTCGAATATTCTTTGACAAGTTTTGTGGTAGCCTCCTAGATAGGAAAGATCCGATGTAGCTCAATAATTTAGTTCACTTCAAAAAATGGAAGCCATGTAGATATTATAAAATTAATAGTACAGTAAAAGTAAGGCAAAGACGAAAAGACTACAAGGAAAATAAGGATGATATTTACATTAATACCATGATGATATATATATTTTTATATATGCGCCATCCATATGTGGATATTTTACTTGGCAATGAATGAGTGTGATATCTGTATTTTTCTGTTAGGTCGCCCCATACCGTTTTCTACTCTACTATCTTTTTATTCACAAACTATTTTCAAAATAGTTTGTGAATAAATTGAATAATATGACTCAAAATATATAACCACAAATATTTGCCTTTTATGATATATAATACTTTATATTTGTATATTTGCCAAATATATAAGTACATAGCGGTGGGACCAAGAGGCAAAGGGACTGCGTCGTATGGTCATTGTGAGGAAAAAATAACTGATATTTTCATTCCGTTATAGATACAAAAGTAATGGTACTAGAGCACGTTCCGGAAAGATATCCCAGCTTCAGAATCCAAGTGAGATATTAAAGAAAGTTCTTTGGATTATCAAAAATTCAAAATAAACTTTACAGCGATTCTACATTTCAAGCAAATAGACAAAGCATGAAGCATAGAAAATTGATGAAGATACGATTAGTTATAATCTTTGATCGAGTATATATAACCTCAATCAATTAATGCATCAACGAAATTCAGTTCCTTCTTCCTTGTAAATAAATAACGTTCTCTCACACCATGTATTTTGGACAAGTGGGTTACATGCAGGAATTTTCATTCCAACAATAGCCTTGACATGAAATTTTTCAAGGAGTGCATCAAGCAACGCAAAAAGTAGCCATTCTCCATCGAAGGAAAACATACGAATATGTTCATGAACGACATGTGGAGTTTCGCGAAGGAAACCATTTGCGATTGTCTACCATCAACTCAATGTCTAACTCTGGTTAACAGTGAAGTTCATGATTTACTTCGACGAGTTAGACACGAATTACGAGTTACAACACGATTTATGGCGTTTCATGCAAAGAGTGCGTGTATGTATGTATATACATATATACTTACTTTATCTCTTTACCAGATATGCTTGATTGCGTAGAGAAAAATCTCTCTATTTTCTTAATTTGGAGTATATAAGCATTCCTATATTGCCAAGCTCAGTTGTTTAAACGGACAGAGCTACTTTGTCGCAATAAAGTACCCCGAGTCTTAAATGCTCTTCATCTTGTGAGAAGAGTTGTTATGATATAGCTCATATCTTCAGAATATATTGGGGAAGATATGTTCTCATGTAACAACATCGGCAATTGAAAATGCAGACGTGATGCTGTAGGACTTGTCAAAATTCGTTGAGATTGAGAATGTTCTGTATTACGTTATTCACCTGTCTATATATCCATAGATCCCTATATTACGTACTTCTTTCACCATGTTTTTGGCACTTATATTTTTCTTTAACACCCTATTGGTACGCAGCTCTAAACCCTACATTCTACATCCCGACGTCTTTTAACTTCATTCCTTAAAGGCCCTGAAATCTCAAGACCGGCTAAGTTTCAGCGGATTGAATCAAATGCTGAAATAGACTGCTGAATTGATTTTGGAACTAGAACATTCGGAAAATGTTGGCCTAAAGATTTAAAATCTGCGTTATCTTCGGGCAGACTAGTATTGAGAAGTCCAAATGTGTAATTAATAACGCAAAGAATACTGTTACGGACTTGCAGCTCAGGAAGTATACACGTTCCTTTTCCTGCATCAGCACTCACTGACGAAGATGTGACCAGCAGGTCTCACTTTCAGTTAACCTTGACGTCATGGACTCGGCTGCTTTCTAATCACTGGTGAGGTGACAGTAAACAGATCAAGAGGGTGATAATTACCATCACGGAAGAGTCACGATGCAAGACCAACGTACACGTTGGGGTAATGGGTGGCGGATGGGGCCTGCACAACGTTGTGGTCGTCTACTTTCACGACATGGCGTTTGCTCATGTCACGTCGTCGATCTCACTTCCCTCTGTCCGCTTACCTTTCCCGCTTAGCGAGAAGACGCGTTACCAACCACACGGTATTACATCATCAATTGATTTCACTTCACTAATCCACTTCCTTCACTATCTACTTCCTCTAGGTCTAGTCTCCCGTGAGGATAAATGGCAGGATTACGGCGGTTAAATATTTTTTCCCCCTTTGTAGATCACATACATTAGTGGGAAAAGTGGCTGACAGTGCGTCGTCAGTGGGCAAGAGGACAGTACTAAGCAGCAGCTGCAAGAGTCTCTCATACGTGGCCCACGACAATAAAAGCAGATCGTCGAGATAAGATCGCCGATGCGGCGGGAGGAAATGGTAACTGCAGAGACTCGGCGGTGTGCAGAGAGACGCAGAGAGAAACCACGAGACGCAGAGAATAATGCGGCACATTCAGGGTGCAGGGTGAGATGAGGAGGATCCGACGCAAAGCAGGCAGACGACGACAGTGAAAATATCATTTTAGGCTTTCGCTCACAACAACCAGCTTTTATAGAAACTTCCAAATCTACGCGGCGTGTACGTACGACCGCGCACAGTGGGAGAGAGACTGTTCAACAAACTATCTTGAACAGCGCCTTCCAGAAAATCGCTGTATCTGCTTCTACATCAATGAGCGTCATAGGAAGAGTAGACAAATGAAAGCAATGACTTCGAGGTTTGTTGAGTGGAAGTAAGAAATACAACAAAGAATTTCGCGCAAGACCGATCCCGTTGACCTAAAAATGTCACTAATCAACAACGTGAAGGTAAGAATCTGCGACTGTATATCATAATATAAACAACTCCTGTCATCACAGGTATCTCACTAGTGCCTTGGGTGAGATCGAATGACCGTCACAGATACCTCACAACTGCCGTGAGTGAGATCGATTGACTATCACAGAGAAATCTCACTAGAGCTGGCGCCAGCGAGTTTGAGTGACCACGTCTGCGTTGAACTACCATAAGGCTTTCTTCCCATCTCTAGTCTAACACATCTGAGGCTGTGTTATGTAAATCAAGCCTTGCTGGCAATGTTGCTCGACAGCCAGTCGAGCCCCTCGTACAGACCCTCTCCTGAAGTGGCGCATGTGCTCTGGATGTACCAGTGGCGCTGGCGCAGAGAGTGCAGGCCGAGCTTGTCGGTGATCTCAGCTGCGTTCATGGCGTTGGGCAGATCCTGCTTGTTAGCGAACACCAGCAAGAGGGCTCCGCGGAGCTCGTCCTCGTTCAACATCCGGTGCAGCTCGTCGCGGGCCTCGACGACACGATCTCTGTCATTACTGTCAACCACGAAGATCAAACCCTGTGTGTTCTGGAAGTAGTGCCTCCACAGAGGACGAATCTTGTCCTGACCTCCGACATCCCATACGGTGAAGCTAATGTTCTTGTACTCGACGGTCTCTACATTGAACCCGATGGTAGGAATGGTGGTCACGATCTCTCCGAGCTTCAACTTATACAAGATAGTCGTCTTTCCGGCCGCATCGAGACCTACCATCAAGATCCGCATCTCCTTCTTCGAGAACAGACTCGAGAACAGCTTGGTAAACGTAAGCCCCATCTCGGCTCCCCTCGTCCAACACCTCCTTCGTTCTCCCCCCCCCCACCCGCCTCTTCCCTTCCTTCTCTCGGATCGACTCCCTCGCTCCCGCCGACCCACCGACCGACCGCACAAATTCCTCGACCTCAACCCTCACTGATCGATCGCCCGAGCCCAGTCCCAGATCCACCACCACCGCGCGCGCGCACCGAGGAAGACGAAGAAGAAGCAAGAGAAAGAAGCAGCAGATCAGCGGCAAGCAAAGCTAATCGACCACAGCACCCACCGCCCGAGCAGCAGCAGCAGCAGCGATCGACTCGACTCGACGCGACGGGACGAGCACGACAACGGGCTGCACAAGCTCCACTCCGCTGCGCTCCGCTCCTGCTCGCCTCTTCTCTCACTCACTCACTCTCTTGTGTTTTGGGGGTCGCTGCGGGAGTCGGTTCTTAGGGAAGACACGGGCGGACGAGAAGGTCTAAGAGGAGGACTGGAGGACGCGAGTAAAGGGCACACCGCACACACCTTTTGACCCGCGAGTTACAGCGCCGGACTTTTACCCATTTCTTTATTTACTCCGGCCCATCGGTTTCTGGAACTCCCCCCTCCTCTTCCCTCGCCTGCCTGCCTGCCTGCCTGGCTAATACGACAGCCCCGCTTATTATTCCAATCCACGCGCTGCTAACGGATACTTAAGTTTGAGTTGTCAACATCTCCATTACGCGCACTCCATTTGCCAACATCGTTCCGTCACATGCTTTTGGCACGTTGCTGCATGTGACATGATTTGTCACATGAATCCCCCCCCCCCCCGCCCTCCCCGTCCGTCGCTCCATCCCCACTTCCGTTCCCCCTCTTTACCTATACTCCTCCCCGAATGCGATTTAATTTCTGGTGGAGTAAGAACCCTCGCAGGAACTTATTATTTTTCGGCATTAGAATATAACAATCCCTCCCGATTATTTTTTTTTGCAGCGCACGATCGCTGACAAAATGAATACAGCATAGCACGATTGCTTAACATCTTGCAAACAGAGGAGCAAGTCGGGAATAATATTCAGTTATTGATATGAAGAGACTCGTGCTCTGTTTACTCCCCGTCCGTCGCTCCGTCCCTACTTCCGTTGCCCCTCTTTAAATATAATCCTCCCCGAATGAGATATTATTTTTCCATGGAGAGCGAACTCTGGCAGAAACTTATTATTTTTCGGCATTAGAATATTACACTTCCTCCCGATTTTTTTCTCTTTGCAGCGCACGATCGCAAACTAAATGAATACGGCATGCACGATTGCTTAATATCTAGGAAACGGAGGAGCAAGTCGGGCATAATATTCAGTTCCATCATTTGAAGGGACTCGTGCTCTAATTACGGGGGGTATAGGAGGGGATTTGACGAGGAGGGAAGATATGCCGACCGTCCGATGTACAAGTTCGATCGGTCGATCCCGACCGTCCGTTTCAAGGGAATCCTTCTCATTTTTAGATGGAAGACAAGACCCAGGTACACCACTACAGCGGCTTGGGGCTCAATAATTTAGATACCAGATATTAAATTATTGAGTCGTGTGGACCGGACCGAATTAACGGATTGATGGCTTATTTGTAGAGTAGGGTTACGATGGGGAAGTCGGTTACAGGAAGGCGGATCTGTTCAGATTGCAAGGTCGGAAGAGGATCCGAACTCATCCATTTGATGGAAGCGTAATCAGAGTGAAGTGAAAAATGGTCCAAACCCTCCCTCCATGGCAATAATATTTGGTGGACGGAGGAAGGGCTTCTGTTTCGTACGACGACGTATCGACACTTGCCGAGTTGTTGTTCTGTAGGACAGCGGGCTTCGCTCATTGGGTCCAGAGGTTCGCTTCCCATGGCTGTGTAGAGGACACGCGTCCCGCCGGAAGATTCAACTTCTGCGTTCGCGTTCGCGATCTCGTTCTCGCCTGCCGGAGCGGACGTCTGGGGTGCTGATCCAGCGGGGAGGGTCATGAGACCCGGTCCTCCTCCAAGACCAAGAAACCGGGTCCTGCGATGGTTCCGGTGGCTCTTCTAGGGCATGCGTTCGTCTCTGAAGTCGCGGGCAGCAAAGGCCCCCGTGAATGTGCCCAGGAATAGACTCTGCCCTGGGGCGGCATGCCGGATCGCCCTCAGGGCTCTTACTTGTTCCGTGGTATCCAAGGTTCGACCATGTGAGTCCGTGCGAGATTCATTCTAGAATAAGTAGATCGCACTGAGCTTGACTTTTCTTGACCACGACTGCGATCGGCTTCCGAGAGGAATGTGGAGAGCTTTGCAGACGGGAACGGCATGAGGACGACGCAGTGCATGGAGACATGGTGGAAACTCGGTTGCACCTTGCAAACGGAGGGTGCCAGTTGACTTGCACAATTTACTCTCGAACAATAATAATCCTCGCAGCTTCGCTCCAAGAAGGGCCTGCCTGCCTGCCTGCCTGCCTCCCTCCCAGCCTGCCCGGTCCGCCCACCCAGAGGAGGCTTCGTCGCGAAGAAAAGTTCGTGCGGATGGAGGAGGGAGCTTCCCTGTGCCAATCATGTAGAAGCTTCTTGGGCTTCCGAGTTCCGAGGCAAGAAAACAAAATCCAGGCTACGGCAACTCCTGCATTCAGACCAAGATGCCCCCTCACGCGAAAGCAAGCAAATAATGCCTGCCATGTAATAATCCATGTCGCGTCAGTGCTTGAGCACCTTTGAGCTTACCATGGCCGTGGTAACCTCACGGTGACGGACGAGGATCTGAGCCAGTGATCTGACTGACTGAGGGACGTCGTCGAATCGCAGGTCACCGGCACCTGTGACTCTATTTCGAAGTGGCCATTGTGACCGGACGGTTGGGCACTTAGCCTTAGCCTTCCAATCAGTGTACTATAACTTCTGTTACCGACGGTCGTCGGTTACTGAGTTTGTACACTCCACTCCGTCTGGCATAATGTGTCGACCCAGAAGGATTAACCGTGTCGATCGGAATCAGGCTCCAGATCCTCTGACGTTGCGAAATATGTCCCCTAACGCCATAGAAGCACTACTTGCTGGAAGAGACCAGGTACATGCTGCGAGGGGTCTAGCGGTGACGCTTTGGTGAGCTTGAAACCTTGCCTAAGGCCGACGTCACAACTTTTCATCACAATAAATTACAACCTTCAATTCTTAAGCTTCCTCTGTCCTCATCGAATTTTGTCAAAAGTACAGGCAATTTCTTCCTGGTAACAAGTCTCATGTGTTTCGGACGGATCCAGAGCAATTTCGTAACGGGATGGCTCATAGCCTTAGATGACAGTGACTTTGAGAAACTCAGCATGATCGAATTGAATTTGTAAATCAGAAAGCTATTACCACGACCCGGCCGTGAAAAGAGGACCTACCATTTAAGTTGTGCATACCTCTGCACGAAGACGTGAATACTCTGTCGCCAGCAGTTCTCACATCCTGAACTCACACAGAGCTTACAGGCACGATGAGAGAGCAAGATACTGCATGTTTGCAGCTAGATGTGGCATGCACCTGAGTACTTCATGAGAAACTCATGCACTGATAGACCTTGCTCACGATGAGTCTTCTTTTCTACATGCCTTTAAAGTTCCAGCTGAGGAGAGGGCCACTTGTACTGACAGGCTTGATAAGATCTTAACATTTGCAAACAGCCCATTGTGTATGTGTTAATAGGGACGACGCTGCTTTTCGTGGCTCTAGAAATTGTTCCTCTACCTTACTTTCCTCGTTAGGCCTGAAGGATTGATGGAGTTCGATGTGAGCAAATCCAAGTTTGGCAACACGATGCGCGAAGGCAATTGCAGGAATTGTGGAACTTCAAATTATTGGAGTTCGAACGAACCTGTATACAATTTAGGTTTACACATTGCTGCGTGCTATTATATAAACGTCCATTGAACCAACCAGTCGACGAATGTGAGACTTCTAAATTACATTCATCGACTTCGGGCCAGCCTTTTTACTAGAGTTGACAGTCCTTCCAAATATGTCCCTATAGCGCCTGTTCTATTCTTAATATTTTTTGAGTTGTCTCTTCGCCTTACAGACTTGGACGTGGAACTCATCCCTGACTTGGAATTATGAGGGATATCTGGTGTGTACTTCGATTCAACGGGCAGACTATCTTCTGGGCAGGCATACATGACACTTTGATCGCCTAAGGCCTCGTTCGTTGCTGTGCAGGTCATTGGATGAACCTCTCTGGTGTCCTCCTTAGCACGCCAAGAGAATCGTTCTTTCTTGGATTCTAGGGTTGCCTCTGCCTTGTGTTGTCTTAAGTACTCATCTTGGGACTCCTTGTTATGAGGTACCTCCTTTGAATCTTCATCACGAGCTGAGGTCTTCGCCGACTTGTCTACCGTCTTTCCCGCAGCAGCCAGGCCATCCTCTACAGCAGAAGTGTCATGTTTCGCCTTCAGACTTCCAAGAGCTTTGACTATTGACTCATAGTCATCTACTGAGAAACCTTTGGAAGAAAACGGAGTTGCATCTTCAGCTTTCACCGTTGCATCTGGTCGGAATAAGGTCTGGAAAATTCTTCGATGACATTCATCACAAAACCAGAACCAAGAAAAGTGTCCTTCTCCTGGCAAGTAATGAAGTTTCACTGGTGAAGACTTCGCTTCCAAGTCCAAGAGGTCGTTTTGCTCAACTAACCGCTTGGCTACATTGTTGATTGTCACGGGTACAAGCTGATCATCCGTACCCTGCAGCACAACATATGAAGATCTCGATAAGCAGCCACACAAGATTATAAAATGAGACATCCTGACTGGGATCTCTACCCAATCGGTAATCCGTGGGAGAACATGCAGAAATCTGATACAAATTGAAACTATTTCAGATTCAGAGACTGCTACCGAGAAATTTAACAACCTGCCAAATGTGAATTGGACCCTCATAAATCTTGGGTTTTGCTTTCCCAGCGAACAGGCCGACCACATGGTGGAAGATGGTCTTTGCAGTACGTTCCCCGAAGGGCAGGTCGGATAGACTGAATCCCCAATCGTTCACAAGCATCATTAGCTCCTCAGCCATTGGAAATGCACAACCCTGCTGCAAAGACTCCTTCAAATCTTCCTGCCATGCCGTCATGACGTCTGGTTGTTCCATCCACTCTTGATCCTGAGCCAACAAAGAGTTGGCTGTTAGTATCTGTCAACTGAGGATGAGTAGTATAATTTCTCGTACACACATCAATTAGTCGCTGTACAAGATTCAGCTAGATTGCACCATAATATATAAGAAACCAATTGTAACGCTAGGATAATTCTACAGGTTGTATAAAATCTAGTGACTATGGGTGAACAGTGTGATCCCTTTAGGAATTTGTAAGATTTAAACGCCTTAGTAGACATTCTTTGAATCTTGATGCATGCAGTGCAGAACCATAACCACATGCCCACCGCAAGGGAAGCACGTCAGCTTCCTAATCCAAAATACACATCAGGGAATCTTCTATATGCACAAATATGTTGAAACCGTACTTGTAAGAACATGCGTGGATGCCCGAGAATTGTCAAAGTAAGCTGGACAGACAGTTGAAAAGTAGAGAGTGAGCTAAAATTGTTTTGAATATAAGATCTCTAGACATGGATTCAGACCGGTAGATCATGTCACTCTGCCCCACGTTTTCACTATTTGATAGACAGTCACCATTCATGGGTTATTCAAGGGGATTACCCTGCAACGTAATCACTAACAGTGTGTCCACTTTGCACAAACTGTTAATGTCCGTTCGGCATCTTGGAGGTTGCAATTCAAGGATGCTGAAGAGCAAGGGAGGAATATCATTCAGGTGAACCAACATAGGAATAATTAATCGCTTGTCTTGGATGTTGTGGTCTGAGAGCAAATGCTTCAGCCTTGGCTTGATTCTGGGCAATAAAAGTCTCAACACTTTCGACCGCCACCAGGTATTAACAGAGGTCTTTTCGTTTATTACCCCTGTACATGCTAAAATAACTACATTATGTCAAGTTCTGATTTTCTGATGTCGCATGCTGAGCCACAGCTAGTGTCATACGATTGGTTCAGGAAAAAGGACCAAGAGATGATAAGTTCTAAGAACAGATCACAAACGAGGAAATAAAACTCTGTAAAAGAACAAAAGCATTCTATGATGTTTAGATTTCCTAGAACTGCAATGTGTATTTAGCATTGAGATGAAACTTAGCGACCTGACCATACATCAGGGAGACTCTAACTCAGGATGTGTTTACATGTCTTACTAATCCCTGTACTGAAATCATCTGAGCGGCGCTTGGATGATTTCAGGTACGCGTGCCACATGAGGTGTGATAAGGTATAATCAATCTGTAATATAAGCTCAAAATTCATGGAGTAAGTCATTGACCAGAACAATTAAGAAAAGTCCACACAAACAGCAACAAGGTAATTAACAAACTCAGAAGGCTGCGATTAAGATGTCTCTGATGATATCTCTTCTATATCCTATAATATACGGAAAAGGATATATACGATATTTGTGAGCACAGGGGCAGCCACTACAAAATTGCTTTCCATATTTACAAAAAACTACATCTCCAAGTTTGAAGGTCTAGGGGCCATTTTTGGATAGATTGAATAGGAGTAGTAGACAGGAACCTACTGCAAAGCCTACTAAGAAATACTTACAGATATACATTCTATCGAATTTCCTATTACAAAAACCCGTGAAGACGAAATCTCAAATTGAACATTTGTAGAAGAACCAAAAGTTAGAAATAAGTCAAGTCAAAGGACAATTCAGTTATTCATCCATATTAGTTTTCAGGATGGGGGAAGAAATAAACTAATAAACGAATAGATATCGCAAGATTACGCCTATATTCAGATTTCGATCTACAAGATTTGTCTACGTGTTGTCTATTGTCTTTGAAAGGAACTGTGCGTACTGACATTCTTCTGCCGAAGGCAAGGACTATCAACTTGCGGAACGAGATTGGAACACTTCGATTAGATTCTTGACAGGCATTGTTAAGCTTGACCATCCTCGAATGAGAGATTAATTACAAAGCACATAGTGTCCTTGAATTCAGAGTTCATAGGTCTAGAAGGAATAAAATCAGGAAGAAGTGCGGTTGATAATAGCCTAACAATTAAGACACTTCTTCGATACATGTTCAGAATAATCACCAAGAACATGAAAGCTTATAAGAGACATACTCAGATTCAAAAAGGACCAGGTTTTGGAGAAGTTTTTGGTGTTTAGAGAACCTCTCACTGTGCTGGGTATTCAGCACAAAATCTACAAAGAAAAGTGGGCTTAAAACTACGTTTTATAAGAATACACCTACTGAGACCTGATGTAGCACTTATTATTGAACCAAGTGGCAGTACAGGCTGGTGATTAAGAACATGAAAGCTTGGTACTTGAGTTTACCCATTGACTCCACTTGACCAAGAACGAAAAGCCAAACCTGTCATTGACATCTTGCCTAGAGAGGTGGGAGATTTCTAACCTTTTGGCCCAGACTTAGTCGTACATTTCTAGGCACATAAGGACTGTTTGTGATAGCTGTCCTTTGAAGCAAAGTTGGAAGAAGGGCTGGAAATCGCCTCGCTATACTGTGCATCCACTTTTGACGCAGAGTCAAGAGACCCCATATATCATCAACTTCTTCCTTGGTCATGTTGTTCACGTACGGATTCCCAGCAGGAGCAAACATTGCCACGCCTAACCAACATAGAAACCCACATGATTGAGACTTTTGAATTTTCAAATCACAACACCACACCTTTTAATTATTTCCAAATGCAAATTGAATGATGAAGAATTTCCACGTACTGCAATGACAGAATGAAAGAATCTAGTGGGGCCGAATGATAAAACAGAAGAAGACCACCCAATAGACATTTTGAAAATGAATCGAAAAAGTGGAGACACTGTTATAGTAGTGTGATGAGATGCTCTCTTCTATATCCTAGAAATTATAGCTGCAGCAAGTTACCACTTTGAACCAAGCAAAAAGGTAAGTAACATCTACTGTTACTATATTAGATGTTCTACAGGAGTTAAATACTCTACACCTCGAGTCATGCGCAGCGCAATAAAGAAAAAACGTACCAGCTAATCTCTCGGGTAGATAGTTTATGGCTGCCCAAACGTGCGGTCCTCCACCTCCGAAACCGACTACCCAAAATTTGTCTCCTAGATTAAGTGCATCTGCAATTTCCACAATATCGTAGGCAGATGTGTTGTAATTTCTGCCCATATGAGGGTCGCTTTGGCCATAACCTGGTCGATCATACGCTATGAGTCGAACTTTGTACTCTTCAAGCAGCGAGGCCTTGATGCCCGGGATACCTGACCAATAGCAGCTCAACATTTAGCCAACTGTTTGTGGTCGATTTTTCACTCTTCACAGTCTCTGATGAATCACTCAAGATCAAAGATGCACGAATGCATGTGACACACGATCTTATTCTATTAAAAAAACAAAGGTATGAGACATAAATACTTTGGATCGAAAATCGCAAATGATGGTCTCTAGCAGACAATAATAACGCACAATGTCCTACACCTGAGAGGAAAAAAACACAACCTTATATAGATTTCAGATGTCAAGTCTAAACGGGAACTCGTTATCGGCTAGTCAAGGTCCAGCCAAACCCAACATCGGCTTCAGTGGCACAAAACAATAATATAACATAGTTGGGGGTTATGCATTCCCAGGATTCACTCATTTTCTCCCCATGTGATATAGATGTACATATGTTGGAAACTGACCTGCGAGGCGAGATGACAGAAGGTCGTGCACTACGACTACTGAGTGCTCTGCTCTATCCGCCCCAACTCCTTGTTCACGAAACGAGAGATATCTTCCACCTCTCAGTCGAATGCGTGTTGCTGTGAAATTGAGTATAATTCTCTGATTTTCGCACTCACCCGGAGGTCTCACTCTAGCAAGAAAACCTGATTCAGAACAAAACGCAAAGCAATGTTAATACTCATTTGCATTCAAGAAGTTGTTTAATGAGCTCTATACCGACCCTTTCTACACATTTACGTTTCTTGTTTCGGTATTTTGGTAAAGATTGAAAATTTCCAAAATATCGTTCGCGACTGTATACGGGTGAGCAGCACACATCTCCATGTTGATGTCGGTTGGATGACTCAAAGCATGGATGTTTATAATTAGAAAATACACAGCTAAGAGACGCAGCATTCTTTGCAGCGATCACTAGTCTTAAAGACGGCACCGAGCAACAATTGTTCACTACTCTACATACTTGCGCTGCTAGGCTCCTGCTTCATCGAGCAACTCTTTAAGCAACTTTGATAAGAGCTATTGACGAAGTCTGAGAGAATGTTTGGAGCGAAGATAAGAAAACACAACAGAAATGTGCCATCAAGTACATCAGTTGGAACGCATTTGGATATTTCCACCTGTAGACATCCAGCTGAAAAAGGCAAGGAAGATATTGATATTTGAAAATGAGGCTTACTTAGATATAGTAAGAATAAGATCAACATTAAAGCGACACCCAAAAACCCCATCACGACCATTGCTGCGAAGTGCAGTCGTCTGTAGAATTTACTCTGGGGTACTTTCGCGGCTTTTAAAAGCTTCTGCTCAAACCTACTCATTAATTCATTCCGTCTCCTCTGAAATCTGCGCTGAAATCCAGCTCCCAGATGCAAAGGGGAGAAAGAGTATACAGTAGGTTTCCCAATATCCCACTCGTCCGGAGGCTGTTCTGATGCAGAGGAAGATGTGCCATCATCGAAATCGTCCCTTGCAAGCTCCTTTCCCCGCCTGGTTCGATTTCTAATCAGCTTGACCTCTTCCTCCTGCTCCTCCTCCTCCAGAATCTCCACTTCTCTCCACTCATTCTGCCATCCGCCGCTAAAGCTGAGGTCCCTCCTGCCACTAATATCTCCGACATCACTCCACGTGCTCCTGCCACTTACACTCGGACTTGCGTCATATCTCTCGCTGTCTGTTCTTTGGATCCTGTCGATTCTGTCGCTGGTGGCAGTCACTCCTAGAGCTCGATTTCGCGCCTGCTGTGTGAACGACATCCATGACAAGTCGTGCTGCGCTTGCCATCCTTCCAGTTGCTCTTCCTCCTCTTGCTTTCTGCGTGCAATCTCTTCCTCCACCCCCCTTCTGCGCAAAAACTCTTCTCTTTTTCTCCGGGCAATCTCTTCATCCTCCATCTTCTTGCGCGCTAGCTCTTCTCTCTTCCTGCGTGCAATCTCTTCGTCTTCTTGTTTTCTGCGTGCAAACTCTTCCTCCTCACTCTTTCTACGGGCAATATCTTCCTGTTCTCCTTTTCTGCGGGCATAATCTTCCTGTTCTCTTTTTCTGCGTGCAAAATCTTCCTGTTCTCTTTTTCTGCGGGCAAAATCTTCGTGTTCTCTTTTTCTTCGGGCGAAGTCTTCCTGTTCTCTCTTTCTACGGGCAAACTCTTCCTCTTCCCTCTTTCTACGCGCGAAATCTTCCTCCTCTCTCCTTCGACGGGCCATCTCTTCCTCTTCTCTCTGTCTACGAGCTAGCTCTTCTTTCTTCCTGCGCGCAATCTCCTCCTCCCGCTTTCTCCAGCTCATCTCCTCTCGCATCTTGCGCGCCTTCTCCTTCTCCTCCTCCTCATGTTTCCGAACAGCCTCGAGGTTCTCAGCTTCCTCGGCCTCCCGCATGAACTTTTCCAACAGCTCGACGTCAAAATCAGATTCTTCTTCCACTTTTTGGTCCGAAACATTCCGAAGCTCCTGCTCCAGACGGTCTTCGGTGATTTCAAAATGATCGAAACTGGAGTAGCGTCGACTGAAGCTCGGCGCCTCGAATGTCGTGGACGTGGCCTCGCTGCGCTTCGACCGCTCTTCGGGAGTGAGCGATCTCTGCAGCTCGCACAACCTCGCATACTCCCTCTCGTACTCCCGGCCATATTTCTCATAATCCTTCTCGTACTCCAGCTCCGAGCTCCAATCATCCCTGCGCCTCCTGCCTGTCGAAAGGCACCCGCCTTCGCCACACCATTTGCCTTTCTTCTTCTTCTTCATCATCCTGCCCACGCTCTGCCTCCACAACGATCCCAACACCGCCACGACCAGCCCCGCAGCTGCAACTCCTCGCCGTTATTACATTGCCTTGGCCTCCATTCTTCTTCCTCTTTTTCTGCCACTGCCAATCTTCAGTCTTTTCTTTACTTCATGACGACGCCAGAGTCGGTCTGGCCTCGAGGCTCGTCGCGTCCGATGTGGTCCGAGGGCGCCTTTCGCTGAGCTTCGCTTTCTTCTCGTCCTTCCTTCGATCCGGGAAAGAGTGCGGCCCGAGTATATATAGTTGCAACGCAACGGCTGGGATGCCATGGCGCGGGGCGAGGGAGCCCGGAGCGGCGAGGGATCCGAGCCCCTCAGGCCAGGCCGGGCCGGGTCGGGCTGGGGGCCGCCACCAACTCCTTTGGCTGCGTCCGGGCCCGGGCCGTGATGTAAAAGCAAAAGCGGAGAGCCGGGGGTCTGGGGAATCGACGGATCAGATGAGCCGGATTCTGGCAGTGACGCCAGCAGCGGAGAAGATCTGCTATTATTACGGTGGGCATCGATCCGCGAGCCAGAGAGGGGATCGGGGCGCGTGCCGATCGGACGGCCGGGAGATGCGGGAGCTGTGGGAGCGCGCCTTGAAGTGGTCTGCTTTGTTGACCTGGAGAGCGGGCATTCAATTTGTCCTTTCCCTCCTTTACTTTATTCTATTTCCGGCTCCGGAGTTCCGGAGTCCCGGCCCGGCCCTCGCGCCCGGCGAATCACCTGCTCCGCCTCCTTGCGGCCGCTGCTTCGCATTCGCCACTCTCTTTCGCTTTGTCTGCCCTCCCCTCCTCCCCCCTCCGTCGCAGCCCTCGCTCTTTCCCCTCTGACAGTCCCCGTCCTGCGGCTGCCTCCCGTACTCCCCCGCCCCTCGTCCCGAGGCTTTTCTCTGGACCACGCCAATCTGTACGCGACACCTTCCCGGCCCGCTCATGATTCGATACAATTACTCCTCTGCTGCGAATCCTCTTGCACCCTCTCGCACCCTCTTGCACCTGTTTCCACTTCCACTTCCTGCTGGTGCCATTGACCCGTCAGTCAGTGTACTGGGCAGGTGTTGTTGTGAAGGCTATTTTATGTGTTCTGCGCCGCACGTCGTCGTGCGCACCGGGCTACTGTCTTCGCCGTGTCGATCGAAGTGCTCCGTGGCTTGAGAGTGAGGGAAGTATGCCGATTAGCAGAATTGCAGAAGCTCCGGGGCTGAAGGAGCGGCAGCGTGGGCGTTTCTTCGTTCCTGGCGAGGAAGAGGAAAGGAGGAGAAATGCATGTCTGTGAGTGACTGCAATCCATACTTCGGAGTGAGGGAGAAGGCTTCGTGACAAGTGGCAGCGACGCTCAGAGAAGAATGCAGATACAACCTTCTTTCGAGTTGTGCCTGTTTATGTCATTCTGTTATGGTAGTTGGTATTTTAACCCCAGGTTGCAGTCATTTATTGACTACGAGGAAGTCTGTTGCGCTTTGTACTCCTGTCGTTCTTTCTGTCCTGTAGTCTAACGTTCGTGATAAATCATCGCCTCTCATGATGATCTCTCACTGGGCTGGGCTCTTGAACATCCGCTGGCCAAAAAGTACTCAGAATTCTGCAATTCGACGTTCCGTGTAAGGTCTGTCTTTACCCTCACGACGACAAAACTATTGGTTCCGAAGCAATCATTTGATACTTCGTGTTTTAAGCTACACTCTACAAAATCTCTATGATTGAATTGGGAGGCACCCGTTTGCTCATATGCACTTCCATACACAAATTGTCTACAATGGTAAGGAAAAGGATCGTTCTTAGATTGGCATGTGAAGAAGACAACGTGTGCTAGCCGTTCACGGCTGTCTGTAAAAGTAAGCACGCAGAAGTCTACCGTTCACGAGTGGTTTGCACATTTTGTGCAAACACGAGCTTGCGTTTCTGCCGGCGACAGTGAATGTATGAAGCTAGAGGAAGACACGTGGAGGTGGAAGAACAATTGTCAGCATCTCCAGTTGAGGCCATGATTCGGCAGTCGGCTTATCCAGCAATTTTCAAAGATTCGGAATTCACAACCTCGGCATGACAGATTATAGTGACATGACAAGATATCTGCATTCTTTTCGGTACGATCAAATGTTTCAACGATGACCTCGTATAACAAAATCTTCTTACGATTCGTACACCAACGTAACATAAGAATATATTTATTACCAGCCTTTTTTAAATGAAGGTATCTCGACCACCACCTCCTGGTTACTGCTCCGTCCACAGCTAGGATTGTACCCTGGCTGTTCCAAGCTTGTCAACCAAATCATTACAAGTAGTATCTTTACATAGAATCAGTTTGCGTGAGTGGAGTCAGTGGGTTGTTGGGTGACTGAAAGGCTTATACAAGTCCGGCCATTAGTTCGCCTACAGATGTCGACCTTACAGCTACCTGCACCATGTCTCCAATTCTAATCGTTCGATGTTCACCTTCTTTGATCTCTGATACGACATTCTGTCCAAAGAAAACCTGCAAGCCGAACCAATTTTGTGTCAGAGTCGTCACTCCGTATCGATTGTTTTCAACAGAAGCTACTAAATGCACGACCAAAGCAGCTCACAACCACGATCGCTTGCTTGTAAGCAATAAACTGACTAGATTAGGTCGACCTCAGCCCCACCTCATCACATCAGGTATCGTCGACTTCTAGAAAAATGTATAAACTAGTTACAAACTACCTTCTATTCGAAAATTATCTCACAATGGTATATAGACCCACGTTTTTCACATGAAAATGTCAACATACAGATATCTACTGTGAAGTACACTACTGGTTTATCCACGTGTGGCAGCTAGGCAAGATTGACTAACCATTTAGATTCTAGGAGCAGATCTGAGGACCCTTACAATACGATGACTATGACCTCAGGCAACGTCAAAGAGAGAGGAAAGTTAAGGACAGTTTGAACGAAGAAGTTATTTGGAGACTTTTTGGAAGTCGGTGGTTTGGCCTTTTGTAAAACTTGACTACTTCAGCGCTATGTTCGAAGAGGAGCCCTGAAGAAAAGAATAATTCCAACTAACAGGATGAAGCAATCTTTCTGATTTCTATAAAGCCTGATTTCGAAGATCATAAACCGCAACCATCAAGAATTTACTCCAGATTTTCATCCAGCTGTGGGAAGAGATGAAGGATTTGAGGAGTACCTCTCCCCTTGAACCGGGTCCAGTTTCTAAGACTGCGCCTGACCGAAACTTCTTTAGCGCAGGGAGTGGTTCTCTTCCCACTGCGGATGTCTCCTGATCAATCGTTGGTACCTGCGATTACATTTCATTAGCCGGTAAGCGCAAATTGAATCTGAGCTGCCTTTCATTCAGATGGACATCAGTACAGTGAAGAAAGAAGAGCGTACATAAGACACACCTTGCATCGTGGACATATGTTCACTCCCTGAAAACTGTGTTCACCAATTGTAAACTTCCGCCACAAGTCCTCGTCAAAAGGATCACAACCCTTCACCACGACACTGCATTTTCAGATCAAAAACAGTTAGAGAACTGGTAAATCGGCGGATGTATCCTCAAAATTGTCGATGCCTCGGTTAAGCCTCACTTCAAAAGGAGTACCAATCCTGTCACCTGGAAGATGATGACACATAACAGGTGCAATAAATGTACATAATATACAGTACATCACTTCAATCCATGATAAAATTCACTACAAATTCAAATTCACTCGTTGAGTAAGCTTCACATAAGTAATCTCAACGTACTTCGGACGAAACCGATTCATAGGGATAGGTACTTGGAGTTTACTGTTGAGTGACTCCAACGATTCCTGAGATCAAACGAGACGTTCCAGGATATTAAAAAACACGTCCCTGGATGAAGAGATCCTGCAAGTAACCCCGCAAATCAGAAAAACAAAAGCGGAAACTCTTTGTCCTGAACGTAAAGTTGCTCAAACGGTAATGTTCTCAAAAGAGATTGACTGGCTTCTATGTTAGGTGGCCGGACCAGTCACCAGTCAACGGGGCCAGTGATCATCTGAGCATTCAAGGATTTTGCTGCTACGCTTTGCTATAGTCAATGAAATCATCGTGGAGCTCCAGCTACCGGGAGAGAAGCCACATTACCTCGGATATTATAAGGATAGGATATCCATCCGAGAAGGCAGTCTTATAACCAGGTGCATACTTGGGGTCAGTCTCTCGATGTTCATTGACTGCAATACAGAAGCCTGAAGTTAAATGTCTTCAAAGAGATGAGAGATGAGCAAAAAGCTAGTCCTCCATCGCACAGAAGCTATCATATTATTAATACTTTATGGACTTGTTTTTGTCTTTAAGTAGCAATTTCGTTCGTCCTTCGGGTCTGACGTCATAACAATGGCGTTGATATTATGCTGGTGAAGATTCTAAGGATGCAGAAGGGGAAGAAGTCCGCGGGAGGAAGTGACGAAGATGGCTTTCATGGTGACGACAGTCATGGAAGCATAGCTTGTTAGACTCGGAAGATGGAAACGTACAGTTGTCGAAGCGCACGAGGCGAAGTCCCGGCTTTCCTATGTACTTCGAGAGCCACTGGGAGGCAGTGTCACCTTCATCGAATGCGTTTCCGGTCCACCCCCAGACGGTAACCTGAATTTTCTCCCTCTCGTAGCCAGGCAAAAGAGGAACATAGAGAGGCTCCATGTCTGGAGCTTTCAAACCTAGCGCAAAATTGTACAGTTGTAAGCACTGCAATTCTCGTACATCGTCCAAATTCGAGCAATCGGATGTCAAGAGTGTGATTATCTTTGCACGTTGGAAGATTCTTGGCTTTGCAAGAGAGTCAGAAACATACATAGAGCAGACTCGGGCCCGAGCGGCCTCCAGCTTTCATCCAAAGCCTCGATGGGCAGAGATATGTCGATTTTTGAAAATGTGGGAAACTGCCTCTGCGTAAGGAACATCCCCTTGTGATCTACAACCATCCATTGTCGATCCCATGCTAGCCCTGCACAGGTTCAACAGAAGAATAGAAATGTCGACACGCTCACAGACAAGATTCGTTTGTCCAATTTGTACGGTAGTAAAATTCAACATAGCGACCGAGCTGAAATCCTTCCAGACAATCCTTCCGAAACGCCAATAGTCCCCCAAACTTGCATCACCAAAGTCCATCGCGTTGATCAGATTCATAAAACTTGGAAGCTCACCAAGTGTGCTAGCTAGACAATAGGAGCAGCTAACCAGCAACCCATGGTGCAAATCCAGTCTCAGTAAAACAATCAACTGTAATAATTCTTCAAAGTACAGCTAAGAAATCCAGGAAAACGAGGCCTGAGCTGACTCGGCCGCATTTGGAACCAGACCGGGACAATTGCACGAACAGAAGAGATGAGAGGCACATAGATAGAAAGAGAGAGCATCACGGACCAGTGGAGGCCAAATTGGCGGACTGAAGTCGAATTCCACGACATGACTTGACAGGGTACACATGAATGTCACTGACTTCCACCATAGCGAATTTCGCAATCCGAAGAAGCCACGATCGAATTCAGAAAAACGATGCAACCAACAAACAAAACTGTACAGCACTCACTGCACACGCGTAGTTCAGAATCCGAAGCAGCACGGACGCCACACTTATACTCAGGCACCTGGACGACCACCGAGACCCGCGTACACGGACATGGCAGCGAGCCCCGACTAGGCCTCGGACATTTGTACAGTTGGCACTGGACGGAAGAGGACATTCGCTCACGGTGGCACTCCGAAGGGTTGTTCAGGCGGAGCAAAGGATATTGGGCCAGTGAGCGCCGGCCACGTGGCGAGTCCGCGAAGACCACTCCAGGCCCGGGCCAGAGCCCAGGGCCAGGGCCAGGTTTTGGGGAGAACGAGGGAGGGCGAGCGAGGGGAGGGGAGGGGAGGGCGAGGAGGGGGAGGAGGAGGCAGTAGGAGGAGGAGGAAGAAACGCAATCAGGCCGGGCGAAAATACTTTTGCTCCGTGGCCCTGCCTGCCAACGCTCCCAACGCTCTCTGTGCCCCTGCCTGGGTCTGGGTATTCTTTCCCCTCTGCCTGCCTGCCTGCCTGCCTATCTGTCTCTCTGTCTGTGTCTGTCTCCCTCTCCCTCTCCCTCTCTCTCTCTCTGTGTGCCCCATCTCGCTTTTTCTCTCGTCGTTGTCGTCGTTGTTGAGGACGTGCCTTGTGGGTGTCCTCCAGGCGCACATGGTGTATGATTATTAGGAGAACTATTCCACTATTCTGTTAGCCTGGTTTGTCGATCGCTCGATCGAATGATCTCTCCCTCCTCGCGCTCCCGCTGCGTATCCAACGATCCCAGGTGTTGGACCCTGTGACTGGTTGGGTCGGGGCGGGTTGGGTCGCTCTGCAAGAAGGGGAGGAGGCTGAAGAGGAAGGGACGAAGGGGCGAAGGGACGAAGGCTGCGAGCACGGGGAAGGGTGGCAGAGTGGGAGCGAGCGAGGGAGGGAGGCAGGGTGGGAGGGAGGGAGGGTGGTAGGGAGAGGGGGAGTGAAAAGAAGCGGGAAGAAGTTGGGCGATAATAAATGGCTGCTGTTAATGGCACCGGCTTCTCCACCAGTTTCTGCGCTCATTGGTACCTTCTCCTTCTCGCTGTTTCACTTTTGGCTTTGTGTTCGATTGTCCGAATATCAGCAACCGGGGCATAATTTTCTTTGTTGATGTTGCCGATCTTTTTATTCTCTACACTGTTCTCCAGCGTATGCGAAATTCAGAGAATTGTGATTGTGGACTAGCAAACGTCGATTTTGATTTGGTGAGAAATGTTCTATCGGCATACTCGTGGGTCGATCTCCGAAAACTGAATGAGTCGCGGGTCCGATCGGATAAGCATCCACACTGTTTCCTCCGAAGCTTATGCTTGTCGGAGGTGAGGTTGCGCTTGTTCTTTCTAGTTCGATTCCCGTGACACGTCGTCAAGCCTCTTGCGGAGGTGATTGGTCGATTTAGCTATAATTGGAGGTCTTTTCCTTGTTACTTTCAGTAGTGTGTGTTATATCTCTTATGGGCATACGTCGGAAGAAGTCGCCCAGTTTCCATAGCTATTTGCAGCTTGGAGTTTTAGGGTGAGAAATGTTGGCAAAAATGGGCCTACAACCTTATCATGTCAATTTCTGGCTGACGTAATTGAGTAGTTAGTGGAATGAGAACTTTGCTTTCATCTTCACTAATTTCCAACCAAATCGTAATTCACCTTGAAAATTTATCTCAAAGTTCAAATGTAGGTATCAGCGGTTCTATCTTGAGCTTCCCCTGTACAGGTGCTTGGATTCTTCTATCGTTGACACGTATTTTCATTCAGACAGATAGTGCAATGTCGAAATTCGAAATTTGACACTTGTATACCTCAGCTGTAGACCCTCGTGATTTGCAACAACGCTGTGGAGCTGCTATGGGGCAAACTTGTCATTGGCTGAGTTTTCGAATCTCTACCTTCATCTTCCATTTTGACACAATCCAGTTGTTGGCCCGGAACTTTGTAGTTTTGAGGACAAAGTATGCATCTCTGTGTACATGTCCAAGCTTCATCGGTATTCTGAAACCTATATATGTGAAATTTACCATTCTTATGAACAACTGGTCGTAGGAGGGTTTTTTTGTTTCTCACATTCTGCACTCGAGTAGTACCCCACGTTTGGCTCAGTTACCTCTCCCTCATCTCTGAAGGTTCAGCAAGTTCTTCCCCTCGACATAGCAAATTTCGATTGCACAATGAGTACGCCTCTTAAGGAAGTCTGCTGTCTTTGCTCTCTCGCAAACTATACCATGAACAACTTGTGCCTCTATTGAGGTGCAGGTGTTAAGCTCATCTCAGCGCTCAGTTTGTGGAAGAAAGATAGAGAAATCAAGTACATCGTATTGACTAAGGATCAATGTTTTGGCATGGACGTTCAGAGCCAAAAGCGGTCGGTCTATAGTTCATTTCTTACATCTTACAAAGTGCATTTTGCTACATGGTTGACTTTCTGTGGGTGTGTTCTTGGTACATAAACACGTCTGAGTTCACCAGTGTGGCCTGCTCATTCATTGTCTCTTCATGTGCATAATGCCATACAGAATTAGGTGCAGAGTTGACTTCGCGTCCATCAGTCCTTTTATTGATTTTGAAGCATGAAGCATTTTAAACTCGCATCATGTGCTTTTTGAAATAAATTTATCTGATTAACACTTTACTCTTGCGCAGCGAAAGAGACATTCCGTCATCTAATTATGATCTCCATTCTGCACATTGCAAACGCAATCTGGAGCGATGTCGTGAATGCCAAGAAATGGTACCTAGGATGCGTGCTGATGAACATTATAACGAGTATCACGCTCCGGTAGGCATTCTTTCTATCGTTATACCGTTATACATGCAAGAGAGCATTTCAGTTTTGATGGTGTATAGACTGCGTGACATGAGTTTGTGCGTTATTTTCCTTTTCTTCCCTTTCATAGCAATTATGTGGGAATATTCTGTCTCTACAGTCGGCTGCCATAATAATGGGACGATTGTATTGGATCAGTGTTTTAAGGATCTACTCCTCCCCACTACTGTGGCGTTACTACTTGTTCTTCAATTGTTGTCTTTACAGAACTACTCTTCGTCTCTTTTTTCTACAAGTAATTCCTAGTTATGCTGCTTTCCCTAGGCAGAATGAAATTGTTACACCATCCACTAAACCTCCTGTACATGGCCCATGGTTTATTTTGCTTGAACAGGCAGTATGTCGATTATGCGGCACGAAAGTAAGTCGAGAACATTTGTCAGTCCATGAGCAGGAGAATTGTCCAAGGCGCATGGTTGAGTGTCAATATTGCGACTTCCCCGTAGAGGCTGCTTATTTATCAGCCCACTCGGTAAATTCAGTGTGCATCTCCTCTTGAATTCTTGTCTTGACCTTCTTCTAGAGTACAGTAGTACGTTGGGCCTATTAACGTTATTCCAGTTTCCAGTATTTGCACCAAGAATTACTTCGTTGGTAATTGCTCAAACATGGATTTGATCATGGCTCCTTAACTTGCTCTTTTCTATGGAGAGATATATTTTTTATTTTAGCGATTAGATTCTCCTTAACTAGAAGCATAAATACTTCACAACTGTGTAATTCTGTAATCGTATTTGATCCTTGGTTTGATCAAGCATTCTTGTTATCATCCTCGTGCCTGTTTTGTGAAGACCATTCCCATTTATTCTTTTGGAATATACACCACAGTTTGTTCAAATAGCTCTGAAGTCGTGTCGAATTGTTTTGAGAATCATTATTATTTACTTCTACTGTGGAGTTTAGTGCGTCTTGTAAGCATGAAGATGTTGGGAGTTAAACCTTTGAAAAACGATGTTTGGGTCTTCGAAAACATAAACGTTGTTAATTCTCTTTGGAGGTTTACTCCTCGCGTTCTACGCTGATATTTGCTTGGCGCTCATAAATAAGTCTTCCCTCTGTGTTCGATAGGTTAGAACAATAAAGACTACTTTTAAAGAACGAGCAAACTCATTTGTAGTTAAAGCAGTTATCGATCTTTTCATTACCAAGTCAAAGACTCCTCAATACAGATTCCCCAGTTAGCGTTTTTTTCCCTCTTACGCAGATTCCCTGTATCTCTGCAGAGATATCGAAATGTCGTGTTATACGTTCCTGACCTTAACTATGACTTTCCTTGAGGTGTTGAAGAGTTTCTTTTCTCCGGCTATTGTACATTTCATTTCACATTCATGGTTTACATCTCGCGATCGAACTTACTTGTTTCCTATTAACAGGCATATTCACATCAACTTTTTTAACTAAGTTACTGTTTGGACTTTTTCATCTATGGTGCCTTTTAATCAATTCAAAGTTTCTATTGATGCAACTTTGTAGTTATTTTTTTAAAATGTGAAATAGCGGTCCAACAGCGTGACCAAGTTGGTTTACTCTTCTTGAGGTCGTCGGCAGACACCATTGAAACATATGTACTGAAAGTATGTTATACCTCGTGAAAGTATGTAATACATTCCTGCCCATCACGAGGAATAGTGGCTAGCCCTACGGTAATTAATAATAGTATTAATAATAGGGAGCGGCTATTTATCACTCAGTTTATGCTAATTATCTCTCACCCTACATGACCCTTCATGTACAACCGGTTTGGTCCAGTGGGAACACACAAGATCGAGTCCCTTGATAGCTCATCTTTCTTGTTACCAATCCTGCGTCTGCGCTTACTCAAGACGGCGTAGCCCTGACTCAACGCGTAAGCTCTCACTGCCGATAGCGCAGCATCCAATGTTGCGTGGGAGAGCTCTGGCGGTGGAGCGAGCGTGTTCATTTTGAAATGAGATACCTCTAACCAATCACAGACCTCCAATCACAGACCTCCCTTCTTAAGCAATTTATATAATTCTTTTAGGGTGAGCATAATTAGCATAAACTGAGGGATAACTAGCCGCACCTTATTAATAATAGGGGATTGTTAAACTCACTACCCGAGTTGTGAAATTCACCCCCCGTTGTGGCAATTGTCATGGCGACAAGACATGTCAAAATTTAATATTTCTTCTCGTCGCGTCGAGGATAGGTTCCTGCCTCTCTTTCTCATTTTCTTTTCCCCCTGTGCACAAGCTGCTTTCAGTGGTGATCCTCCATATGCATATGGAAGAAGCACCGGAATTAGCTGCGGCTGCGGTGCTTGAACACGTACTGGACCGGCTCACCCTAAAGGTCATATTCCAAGCCGTTTCTCTTCTACCTCCCACTAGAGAGATCAAATACTTTAAAAACACCCCTTACTACGCATTTAAAGGTCTTTCCAAATATCTTGTGGCTTTTTAAGCTTCTGGTTCTTATCTGGGCATCCTTGCCAGCTAAGTCATACCTGCTCCTGGTTCCAACAAAACCGGTCGTGTAAGCTACTGCCTTGTTCCCATCGCGGTTCTGGACAACTATTGCACGCACTAAAGGAAACTGGCAAGGTATTCACCCAGTCCATCCGTTCTCATACAAGCATTGTTGCCATGACAACTGCCGCGACGGGGTGTTAATAAAAGAAATGGGGGGATGAGATTAACAATCCCCTAATAATAAGAATAATAACAACAACAACAACAACAACATCAACGTTTTCAGTTCGAAAGGTTGAAAAAGTGTAAGGGCTACCTCACTCCATAAACCAGGTATCTGCTGACGGGTTCTAGATACCTGATGACTGCAAGGAGTTTATCTTTTGGAATTTAGAAGTGGCTTTTGTTCTTATCTGCTGATATCAACTTCTTAAGTTTTAATAACAGAGTTTTGGTGTCACAATGCAATTTGTGTCCTTTGTGATAACGTTTGTGAGCCGCTGAAGTGGTCGCTTCAGGCTGAAAGTATATATGAACTTTCGGTAAGTCTCTGAAGGTTGTCAACTTTGCTAAATTTTCTTCATTCACTTAGTCATAGATCATCTTATCTTTGCTTCCAGAGTTGTAAATCAGGCCTCTCTTCGACAGAAATCGTTATATACTTGCATAGATAACTAAGACCTAGCTTGGGCAGGTGTGGTAGCGGATCCTAGACCAGAGATGTCTTCCACCGGGTGCGATTCCTTTCTTAACTCCAGCCTCTCTAGGTGGATCCGATACTAGACGATAAGTAGGAAGTAAAATTTTGTCCGCTTACATTCATATTCAGCGTATCGAAAGGTGTCGGTTGTCGAAAGTTGTGATCATTGATCATTGAGTTGATTTTAGAAAAAAAATTGTTGTTATGATGTTTGGAGCCTAGAGTCCGGCTGGGTTTTGGGTGTCTTATTGAACAATGTAACAGCTTAACTGGGAGAGAGGTGGTTCGAAGTTGAAAGGTGTCGCTGTGGATAATGGCACGTGCAGGCATGTGGTGATCACGATCAGATTGTTACGCGCCAACCCAGGTATCTTAGGCGATTGTTGAGTGGATGTATACGTTCATGCTTCTGTTTCATTACGATCAAAGTGGGTCTTCCCATCGTTTTCCTATCGGGTGTACCCTTTGGATTCTGTTTGTTCAGATTGTTCAAGGTGTCGCTAGTCACAAAACCTGACGGATCATATGGTGAGGGAGGGGCAGCCTGGGTCTAGGTTGTAAATCAGAGTTCCGATCATCCAGCAATTGAAGTTGTTATGAGATTAGTCAAGATGTCTAGGTTCCTTGTTATAAGTAGCGATGTGGACTGTAGACATGCACTAGGATTTTTAGGAGGGAAATGTTTCGATGTATTTGCTGTATATGATGCTAAGCGCTTTGACTATAATATCCTTCATGGAGGCCTTCTATGAATGTTTGCGTGCACATGTTAAGTGAAGGTCTGTGTCAGCTTGAGGAGTTGAGCAACTGGGCAAAATATATAAGAGGCTTGGCTGCATAATCCTTGAACTGGTCGTTTTTATGGTTGAAAGTAAGATAATGTTGTTCTACAATATTCTCCCCGTCTTGGGATGTTGGGAAATAGATGCGAGATAGTTGAGTCAAGTTGTGATGAATCTTTGAATCCTGCCTGAGGTATTGTCATCTTCATAACAGCTTCTTTGACGATCTCTTTGGCATACCCAAATGTGTTTGTCCTAAATGAAATGTTGAAAGTAAGATAATGTTGTTCTACAATATTCTCCCCGTCTTGGGATGTTGGGAAATAGATGCGAGATAGTTGAGTCAAGATTGTGATGAATCTTTGAATCCTGCCTGAGGTATTGTCATCTTCATAACAGCTTCTTTGACGACCTCTTTGGCATACCGAAATGTGTTTGTCGTGAATGAACGTTGGTTACCTTTTATATCGTTGTGCTATGTTTGGATTGAATTTGTATGTGTGCTGATGTAGACTTTGCATCTTGCAAGTGACATTGACATGCAATCAAGTCTCATTTATCCAGACTGATGTTTGAACCCACGATTTGGGGTCATGTATCCACCTCTCAACAGCTTTGACTTCAAGCTAGCGAAGTTTATGTTAATGGTTGAAATTTGAATATCATTGACTTCTATGACAACAGTGTGTTTGTTGGTGGAAACGATTTTACTATAAGGAATGAGGAAGATCTTTTACATGAACTTAGCGTTAAGGAAATGGAAACTGGATATGTTGTTGAATTGAGAGCTAATATCCACTTGCTTGATTTCATCTCAAAGTTATCGGATAAGGCTTCTAATTGTTCTTTTGGAAGTCCTCTTCGAACAACCATCCCGTGGGAATTATCGTAGTCCTGACTTATCAATGTCTCCCATCATTGAGCGGTTACTAACTTCGCAAAGGTGCCTGTGATACGACATGAATCGTAACAACCTGTCAATCTATTGTCATTTGGAACAGGACGTTTGTGGTAGTCGGACGGAAATGTGCATTCCTTGTGGTAAATATGTAAGGCTAAGAGAGAAAAATGTTCATGACGTTCAGTTTCATGGAGAAAGTGGTGAGGCCGGCATATCCACAAGGTATGAGTCTTACTACCAATACTGATTACAAACCCCTCTGTCCCTAGCTATTATGTGATGCACATGTTACAATAGATAGATTACAGAGGCCATATGACGGTCCGTAAACTTTGGTTGATTTGGCAATTTTTTCTTCGTGGAAATGCTCTCTCCGTCGCTCTTGATCTTTACATGTAGATATTTGACTTGAACTCTTTCTTGTTGATTGAGTTGAATGATGTCCATTCTACCAGATATTGTTCTATTGTGTATCTAGACAGCTGTCTAAAAGACATATGTTCGCCTAAAGTGGTATCCTGTTTTGGGTTGCCTCGTCTGTCTTAAATTTGTTGTTAATGCTTGACTGTCGTGCCAATGTAATTTCCTTGCAGAGAATACAACTTACCTCGGAGTAGCGGCAGTTCTGCAGTTCCTGCCGACGTGTCACATCGGGCATTACCTGGCTCTAGAGGACCCCCACCAGTGGCATCTAGGCATCGTTTGATGTTCACGTTTGCAATCACAGGTGTTGCTATTTTGATCGGTACGTTAGTTTTTCAAAGACGCGGGCCAAACCAGCGCCCCCAACAGTAAAAGTAGCAGTCATAACTTTTTAGACAGCGAGTTGGTTGATGACGGTGGTGGTGCAACTACCACCTCTTTCCAGCCTTTGCACCTACAGGGAGAAAGAGATACAGAATGCAGTCAACTAACTTAGCTCTTGTTCCTACGAGGAGAATCTCCCACCCACCTCTTCTTCATGCATGATACAAGCGCACCGATCCCGTAGTCCCTCGTGCAGCAGCTACACATCGTCACCGTCTGCACGCCTGTCCTGGGTGCGGGAGAGAGTGAGAGAGTGCAATAGCTGAGCAAAAGAAACGTACACAATGAAGAAGCAAGAAGCATCTTGTGCGCCTGGAACAATGTGCTCAGGTCAGAGGGAGGAAAAGGCCTACAATATTTTGAATGTTTCCAGTGTACAACAAAGTTACTAGTGGTAGTTCGAGTCATGATGTTTACTTCCCCTTTCGTCCAGTTGGAGACCGGGGGCCGAACATCCCGTCTACAGGTGAAACAAACGGACAGACAGATGTCTTTACATGTACAATCTTCTCGTCTTCCATTGAGTGTTGTGTTTAAAAATAAAGGGGGCTACTCACTGGCTTTGTAACTTCGCTACCCCACACCTTCTCTTTGGAGGCTCAAGGTTTGCTTGCTCTGAAGCCTGCGGAACTCAATCAAGAGAATGCACTTACACCGACACAAATGTCCACCTTTTTGTCATTTTACCAATTGCAGCACAGGCGAGGAATATGTAACTGCGCAGAGGTCATTTGTAGCTCACCTACACGTGAGACCTCCCGTGCCAACACAGTCAGAAAGCAGTAAGGACGGCCCCTCCACTTCCTAATCGAACCTCATACCAACTGTGTCCTTTTTGAGAGTATCTTCCTCTCATCCAACTCGGGGTCGTGAAAGATGCCTTATTCTCATTTGGGTACTAAACAAGGGAAGCTCAGATCTATAGACGCGCAACGGAGCGTATTACAAACGAGATGGTCTTGAAACTTCATCACGCCACCCACCCACCCACCCACAGCAGGCAGTCATCTCTCACACATTGAAGCAAGGCTGTCGGTTAGTACGTGAGGCAAAATCCCGTAAATCGCATTTTGGAAGGTCTCGATGGGCGAAGGAAAATGTATCGAGGTTCAACTCTAATGCGGGTGTTCACCTCCTTCTGTCATGATCCGAATCGATCTGTCTTGGCGGGAAGCAAGGCGGCAGCTAGTTGCCATGCAAGACGGCCGATATTCTCTGTCACGCAGCCAGCAGGCGCGAGGGATGGAGGGAGAGAGGGAGGGCCCTTCGCGCGAAATCTGTCGAGGTTGTAGCGTAGCACTCACGCCCGCCGTTGGCAGGGAGACAGAACCGGACTGTGTTTTGCCCACGGAACAAGCCACTGCACCTTGTCCGCACATTGATGTCAACCGTGGCTCTCGATCCTCAAGACCCCACCGTACAGGCCAGTCTGGGCACTGTATTGGCGGACGCAGCAATCTTAGCAACCTTGAGCTAGCAAAGCCTTAAACCCTCTGACATATAGCAGAATGCAACAGCTTGAGACAGTTCTCACGGACTACGGACTCTCCCATGGCCTAGAACCCTAACAGAACCGCTCTGATACGACTGTGATGCTTTTAATTCGTGTCTTTCACTAACCTCTCTAGCGCTGCCCTGCATTTCCAACTGTTTATGATATCTCTTGCTGCTAGCCTCCAGGCGCTGAAGCATCAGTGTAAGGAACGAGAATCGATGATATTTGGCTAAATTTTGTAGCAGAGTTGATACTGGATCAGGGTTACAGAGCTCGAGTGCTTCGAAGCTGTCATGCTCGTTGCAATTGATTACAGCGCTGGACATTCTAAATCTGAATTTGGAAGGTAGACAGCGTGGGTTGACTTTGTGGATTGTGTTGCCCGCACTCTCTCGGTCATGGCTCAACAGAAAGAGACGTCTGGCAGTTGATGAAGATGTTGATTTTGGCAACTCCGTTCAATCTGGTTCACTTCACGAGCTCTAAAGTGCTGAAAATTTTCTGCTCAGGTTTCTTCAAACTACGATCCCAATATGGACGAAAAGGGCGATGAGATTATCCAACAACGAGGACGAGCGGCCATGATTCAGCCAGTGGGACCAATCACTCGCTTCTCTCGGGGCGTCAGCCTTGCGAGAAACTTAGGCAAAAGGCAGCGCATCACCATCACTTTCGTTGGGTTTGACAATGATGTCGCTCACTTCAACCTCACCTTCCACGTGAAAAGTTACAGAGGCCTAGCTTCGATAGGTTGGATCTGGCTGATGGTCAAATTGTGGACTCGCAAGTGAATTTTTATAAAGGGAGTTACATAAACCCACTCTTCGTCGAGCCCTGCTTCGGCCAGAGACTGAGAGGGTGCTTCCCTCCCACCATTCTGTCGTTTCAGATTACTTAAATTGGCAGGAACTGCCGCGACATACAAACACAAACACGCGCATAAAATGTTTTTGTGAAAGTTCTACCAACAGGAACCGAGGGGCTGAAGCTGGAGAGCGTATCTTGGAGGGGCTGAAGCTGGAGAGCTGGCTGGTTATCTTGAGCAGCTGAGAGAAAGAAATTTGAAATAGGAAGTTGAGGGATAACAAACCCAGCCGCCAAGGCACGGGAGGATCTGGTCTGTTGGAAAATCTGACAGGCGATAGATCGAGCGATCAACTGGACATGTGAAACTTTCACCAGCTCTATCTATCGATAACGAGAGAAATGTCACAGTTCTGGATGATCATGTGAAACGGGAAGACAAATTTGTACTTCATGTTACAATAAATCAATTTTGGTCAATGTTATCTCCTCCTTTGCAATCACTCATCGGTAACAATGGCCCTGTTCATCTTGTAACCATCCAATCTTACGCTTAGAAGACAGTATTAGATACTGACCTCTGACACGCTCTTCCATCTGGAGCGGCTTGCAATCTTTCGGAATGCCAAATTGTAGATTCAACAGGCTTACATTCCATGTGCATATGCTCGCAGGAACATCAGTTCACACCCGGGTCCCCCTCCGGCGCCGTCTAGGCGAAGATCCTCCATTTCTTCCTTTGCACGGTACGACTGCAAACTCTCTCAGGATCTCTAAAAATATCCCAACTGATCAAGACGATCGGTGCTGTACGGGATTGATGGCTAACAGGTCTCTCCGCCCTTGACGTGCCCAGAAGAATCTCTTACCTGGTATCGACTCATCGGTGACATCTATGACTCGGAAAGGCTGTGAAGTAGGAGCTTAAGTTGTTTGACCGGTAAGTAGGCTAGGAATCTGCAACCTTTGATTTGGGAAGAAGCGAGGAGTGAGACTAACTGCAGCATCAGCACCAATGAAGAGGCAAGAAGCAAGCACCTGTGACCTGTTCAGCAAGCTACTGTAAGTAGCTTCCAACGGACCGAGTGGTACGTATTCCAAAGGGCAAGCAAGGCAGATGAAATTCGTACCTCGCACCCGCGCATATACCCAAGCCCGCTGATTCGTATTGGGAACTGACGGTCAGAGGTCAGCTTTCTGACGTGGATGGATGCAAGTGGAATTCTACAGTTCATCACTTCTTCCCGTTGCAGTCAGAGACTTTCGGAGATTTCATTGATATTCTCGAACTTTTTGTTGCCTTGGTCTACCTTCGTCCATCGGTTTCCAAGTACCCTTTCATTCACCACCGAATAGCTAGACACTTGGCCTCGTTCATGGACAGTTACTGCTGATCATCACAAGCAGACTCCAGACACGGACTTGAAAAGCTTGACTCTTATTGTGACACAGAGAGAGAAAGAGTGAAGTCAAATTCTGTACGAATCCGCTTTATTCAAAGCTGCACAATTATTCTGTACACACCTATTATGATGGGCCATTTCTATTCTGATATGACAGTTTTGGGAGCAGGTGAACAAAAGTTCAGTCAGCTAATTCATTAACTCCTTGCTGCTTCACCGACTCTGGACGTAATGTTTCACTTTTTTATTATCTGTTCTGATATGTGCTGAACATGGGATGTGCACAACCTTGAACAACACTATGACTCGTCTTTGCTACATGATCACAGCCCGGAGACAGACCCAGTTAACTGGCCTTGCAGCATGTACTCTTTTTCGTTTGCCACTTTGGCTTGTGGTGGGGGTTTCCACTCGAGCCCCAGAAGACTCCCCCGCAGAAGGTTTGTTTGAACCTGGCAGTATCATTACTCCTTGTAGTGTAGTGTATTGAGGTGTAGTGAAGAGAAATCCGACTACTACTTAAGACTAGGCACCTTGGCAACAGGGGAATTAAAACTTGATTCCCTAGACACACGACCTTGCAAGCTGCTGCTTTCCGTAAAGGCGGTATTCAGTGAGTCAAACGACTGGATCAGGGGGATTTCTATATAGCTTGTTTGCTGCTCGACGATGAAGTTAACTAAGGGTGCCTCCACATCTTGAGTTGCTTCGGTCTTCTCCAGGACCGTTTCTCCTTCCTTGGTAACGATCACCACCCTCTGATTCCGAGTCACCAGTTCGTTGGCCACCACAGCATGCATGTCGTTCTTGATTAAAGCCGAGTGGGCCTTTTTTAGCAAAATGTTGGTGTCTGTCTCTAGCTGGCAAGATCAGGAAACCCACGAAAATCCAAGGTCAGCTGAGCAAACACTTTAATATGGATCTGGTTGCATGATATGAAACCTTAGGGTTGAGCGCTTCCAGTAAAGGAAAGTTAAGGATTGCAAACCTTAAAAGAAACACAGAAAGCTGAAGGAGCCCAGTGCTTTCTTAAAATAGGAAGCATTTTTGGCACTTGGGCAAGTTCTATCGCCAAGGGGCCTGCTCCTGATTGAATCTTATGCTCCTCCTGCGGAAAGGGAATGACACAGCACTCAAGCTTCGTAACATAGGACTGATGTGTAATTTACTCAAGTGATCTGGCTTCATTACATACGGGAGGAGCTGATTCCATGTACGAAAACTTTCGCAACATGTGATACTTTTCGGTTGATTGTAATAGTTGGTAACACACTGACTCACGACTCAATCTATTGCTGGTCCTGTGTGTACAGGTAGCAAGTTGACCAGCAGAAAGTACCATTTTGTTCCAAGGAACGTAGAAGTCCGAGACCGCCGCTGCCATGTAGAACATTGCGTGACGATCCAATTTTTTCAGCCTCGTTGCTACAATTTTTAGAATCTGCAGTATATAAAACATTAATAATCCAATATCTTGCTTCGTGACAAACGACTAACAGCTACACCTTAAGCAGACCACACAGTACAACGATGTATACATATGCACGAATCGTATGGAGAATAGAGAAGAATCAAGCGAACCTGCAAATACTCGAAAAGTGTGGTATACGGTAACGACAGAAGATTCCCATGCTTGACTGCCTGTTCATGACACGGGACAATTCAAAACTTGTCTCGTGATTCAGGAGACCAAGCGATAAAAAGTGAAGCGTGTTGAGAAGTCCCCTACACAGTTTTTACCAAATAGAATGTTACAGAAAGAGTAAACGAGTACCGCATAGTGTTTCCGAATTGCTTGTTGGACTACTCCAGAATATTTAGGGCGTGCTGCATTTACATACATAAGCAAAGATCAGCGCACAGTCATGATCCGTCGCTCATGTAACTAGAAACGCATGAGGAAAAGCTCTGAAAGGGTCCTTGAACAGCTCACTCGCATTAGACTAAAATCATTCAACTATTAGCAATATCATTCAGGACTGAGGAACTCGATTACTGGGTAGCACACTGATAACCTAAGAGAAGAACTAAGATAATCCAAGTAGCTCTTGTTTTCTCGTGATGGCTGTCCACAGCCCAGTGGAAAATAATCAAGGGCACATCAACTTTTGCGTTGAACAGGATCATTCAGTACTAGGAAAAGGAAACATACGCTGTATTCCTAGATCATCGACAGGCTCAAAACAATTGAGTACAGGATCTTCCGGCAGCGCTCTACAAAATGGTTGCGTTGAAGTTCTAATAAACGACACAAGACAACACTTATGTCAGACAAGTTCGTCACACTCTCACAGTGAACGGAGACCTATATCGAAATGTGCACGCCCGTTTCAACTGACGTATGAGTAAGGCTAGGATGAGTGCTTCCTGAATTGCCAAAAGTCACTGAAAAAGTCCTACATGGTTCAATCATCGACGGAAGGGGAGCAATACCGCTGGACAGTGGAAACATTTACACGACGTAAATGGGACCAGAGTGAGACATTCTGACTTCGAAGAACATACCTTCGGTTCAGAAAAATTACTCCGTAACCAGCCCGCATGAAGTACCTGTGCCCAAGAGATTTCACCGTCAACTCCGACACTTCGCTTCTATCTTGTATAGGATGAGCTTGTGGGCGAGCAAAACATGGCAAGGGTGTAACACTACTGCTGATTTCAGTGATTACAAGCCTGTTACAAGCCTCCAGTGATCTTTAGAGAAACGACCAAAATTTATGTACTAGCCCAATAGAAAATCTCCCGTGTCTCAATCACCTAGTAAGAGCGAACCTTTTTTTCTGAGATGTGGTATAGGCTGGGATGCTGAATTGAGCTGGACTGCCAACCTTAACAATGGCCAGAAACTGTGCACATCTGGTGGCTTGGTTATCTCGGTCCGAAGTGTTGCACCCAGGGACAATGAATTATGAACTGTACGGCAGGGTCACAGGAAAAGGGGCACATACAGCTGAACTGGCTTAAGAATGAGAGTGAGGCCTACTCTGTTGAAGCGGCTCCTCGATGTCCCAAGCTGAAGTTATCGATAAATCGTACACATTTACGTTCCAAAGGAACTGTGGTCCCACCGGACGTCACACAGACAATCCTTCTTTTCGGGGATAGATAATCTGCATTGCCTGCAATTGACAGACGAGTCTTTACTTAATACGCATCACTGAGCGATTCTTCTGGTCACACGGAAGCGTTCAGAAAGCCAGTACAGTACTTTCTTAAACTACAGCACTTCTCTGTCAGATGAACCGTACTCTTGAAAATCTGGAGCACATGGAGAGACAAGGTTCGCCCGGGGGATCGTACACACAAGAGCGAAATGAGGCTTGGGGTGCATAAACCCAGAGCGGTGGAATTGCGCCTGTTCAGAAACTGATCTGTGAAGAGGGAGAGAGGCAGGGAGGCAGGGAAGCAAGGGACACGCGCAATCCAAACGGAGTTCTGAGGTTATTGCTGTTGTACCTGTTGCAGCAAGCAGCAGGCGGGGTCTCAAAAAGTCATCCACCACGGCAGTGATGGCTTCCTGGTCTCGCAGTGGCGGCGCTGAAGCAAAGAACTCGTTTGCTGCCTCGAGCTCAGCCATGGCTATCAAAGGACGAGATAATACCTGGAAAACGCAGCGCACCGACGACAAGAAGGCAAAATCAAATTCTCGTGCAGATGCAAACGTAAACGGCCACGTTCCCGTTCACATACCAGAATACCAACTGGTTCCTGCATCAAGTCACTCCGACCTCACTCGCCCTCACGTCTAACCTCATCCCCATCTGACCTCCCGCTTTACACAAGCGCATCTGAATCATTGAGCCCTGCTGACCCTGACCACGATCGTCTTAACTGGGGTTCCCCGAATTCACAATCTGTAGACCCCACCAGCTCAAATTCCCCCTCCCTCCCTCGAACGAATCCCTCATCCCACTGACCCTCCCATCGCCCAAGCTCTTGGCCCGAGGCTGCCGAAGCTCGTCGTGAGCTGCCATAAAAACGAAATAATGGAAATTCACATCGAAATATATTATAAAAGGGAAATTGATGCCCTGTCCGAGCAGAAAGCATAAGGCTTCTGCTCCATCGACGCGACTAGAGCTGCTGCCTGCCGCTGCAGGCGATGGGATGGGATGGGACCGGGCCGGCAACAGCCTGCTCGCTCGCTCGCGGGCGCGCTCACCTGATGAAAGAGCGTCGTCGTCTGTCGTGTGCTGGAGGATGTGAAGAAGAAAGCAGAATTCGACAGATCTGCAAGAGCTGAGGCAAGCCCAGGACTTGAGAATTGCACAAGCGGACACTCTTAATTTATGTGGTCACGGAATTGCTGGCTCGGAGCAGAGCTTTTAACCAGAACCTTGCTGCCTGCACTGCCTCGGCCTTCGCCTTGCGCCTGGCGCCCTTCTGCCTATCAGCGACTCCGGAACGTCAGTGCCTGCTCTGGTCGATGATAACAGTTGACGATTGACAGTCAGTCAGTCCGCTGATTTGACGCCCGGAGACCCGAGAGGCGAGACACACAGACGCACACGCACACGCACACGCACCCTAATACAAGATAAGCATCAGCTTGCCCCTTCATTCTACAGTCTTGCTGCCGCCGTCTGTGCAGCCAATCAAAAGGCAACCCCGGCGCTGGCCTGCACTCTCGCCGAGTCTACGTCGGGCCCGAGCGCGAGCAGAGTGACTGGATCTTTACCCTGTGCTGGTCGTTGTTCATGTGCCCCGGCAGCAGCAGCAGCAGCCTCTGCCTCTGCCTCTGCTCTTCGCGAACTCAGGAGAATTTTACTGTTCCCGGGGCTGCTGCTGGAGAGATGGCGGGGGAGGCTTTCGGCGCTGTGATGAGGCTCGAGAACCTTTTGCGGATGGGCATGTTTTGGACGCTTGCTGTCATTTACTCCTACGCGCAATTGCTGCATCAGAAGCTCTTCCGCTCGGGAATCATCTTTTCCAGGTCGCCACGAATCGCCCCCGATGGCGCGCGCCTTGTGTGTATCGTTACCGGGGTGCGCCCCCTTCGCCCTCCCTCGCACTTTCTCTCTCTCTTTTCGCTTAGCTGTTCTCTCTGCCAAAAGGCTATCGTGGCTCCTCCGCTGCAGTAGGGATTGGTGGTGTGTACAAGGCGATCAGAATTTCGGCGACTGACCCTTACCTCGTGTTGGAATTCAAGGCTTCTTCAGGAATTGGCAGAGCCACCGCCGAAGCTCTTGCCGTGCACGGATACCATGTTATCCTTGGTGAGTTCCGGACTCTCGTGCTTTTTACGGCGGATTTACTGACAGACCACGTGATTCGGGCTTGTCAGATTATTCTCTTACGAATTGGTTGTTGCCGCGGGGGTGGGATGGGATGGGTGCAGCTGGACGGGCGAGGACGCGGTTGTTGGAGGTAATTTGGTCTGGAATTGATGGATGATTATAATGAACTCGAGCCGATTACATTTCGAGCAGCGATGTTCCGATTTCTGTCCCGTGCCGATTGACAAGTCTCTCATTTCAGCGTCGGTCCAAGTTCAGGAATTGCTCTGCGCGGTGTCGAATTTGTTCTCAGAATTCCCGGTGCCTGCCCCTGCCAGGTCGTCTGGGCTATCAGGAGGAAGCACGACAATGTGTCTCTCGAAGCGCTCGAGCTCGATCTTTGCTCGGTCGGCTCTATCCTTTCCTTCGTGGATCAGGTCAAGAGCATGTTGCAGGCCTCCCAGGGCTCCAAGGCTTTGCAGCTGCTCGTCAACAACGCGGGCATCCTCGCGGGCTCGAGCAGATGCACCGAGACGGGCTCTGACAGGCGCGTGACCCACAACACTCTTCAACCCTGCGTAAGCTTAGCGCAAACGATTGGGTCCTCGAGAGGTTGAATCGCATCCCATAGGCACAAGTCTAACATCGTCGTTCTCTCTCGCGCGTGTGAAACAGCATGATCACCAGCAATTACTTGGGACCTTATCTGCTGACCCAGCACCTCCTCCCGCATTTCCACCAAGGCCATCCTCGAGCCCGAATTGTCAACGTCACGTCCTTCACTCATCGCTGCGGTTCGTTCGATCGTTCTCTCTGTGACCCCACGCTTCTCAGCTGCATGGCATCTTCTGCTACTTTAGCCTCTGAGGCCTCATCATTCGTCCCTCTGTGCCTCGGAACTCGTTCTAGGTTCTACGTGCCTGCTGAACTTTCCTGTGCAAATCCATGTCCATGGACTTGCTCTTAGAGACACGTGTGCTGGACTACGTGCTACGAGGCTGAAGCATTGGTTGGATGGATCGTCGAACGCAGTCCGAGCAGGGATCGTGGATGAGAAACAGCTCGCTCGAGGCTCACTGGCCAATTTTCCACTTCACAAGAGTTGGTACAGCCTCGCCCAAGTCTACGAGAATTCTAAATGTAAACCATCTGCTCCATCCCCATCGGCGATTGCTTCTCTTTCGTGTCAGATCGAGTTTTAAGAAATCAATTTGTTGATGAAGATCGGCCTGTAATGGGGAATTAGCAATCGTGATTAGCGGTACAAAAGTTCTCGTCTCCTGTATGTCCAAATTCATTTCATCGAGAGGGTTCAGGGTTTGTGGTCCTATTGGAACTGCGGGCTTAGTTTGAGAGAGGGGGAGAAGCAGGATTGGCGATTCTTGGATCGACGATGTTAACAGACAGCATCGTTCTTTGATTGCCTTGCAGTCTGTCTTCTTCTGTTCACGTATGAGCTCCATCGCCGTTTCCACGACGGCACTGATTCGTTCAAGCTCAGTGTGATGTATGCCTCTCATGACCTGCAGCAGTATTTTTCAAAAATGGACATTCCAGCACATTGTGATTCGGTTGGCGAATGTGACTGTTCCATACTTCATATCTGTCTCTCTTTCTCTGATCGCGATCAACACCTGTGCAGTCTAGTCCAATCCCGTGACCTAACAATTGATTAATCGACTTGGACCAGGGCTGCAGATCCGGGTATCGTCCGTACGAATATTATGCGTGAGCTTCCGAGCTCTCTTGTCTCGTTTACGTACTTCGTTCTCGGCATATTGAGACTTCTTCAAGATCCGTCGGACGGATCGAAGGCCGTTCTCGATGCTGCTCTTGCTCCTGAGGTGAGAGATTCGATCGATCCATAAAGGCAAATGGTTTCTCATGCACATACCCAAACCTCTTCTATGCAATCAGCTGCCAACTTGCAGAAAATTTGGCTCCGACGGGCCAAACTACTGTGACGGGATTGACAATATTTGAGTTGTCACAAGTTGCAACGATTGTGCAAACTTCTTTCGAAGTTGTAGGGCCTCTTTTAATCGAACCACTTTACCTTCCCTTCGGCCCTTGGTGCATTGACGAGATCAGTTTGTGCTCCACTGGGCTCTAATTTACGTGTTATGTTCCTACACTTCAGCTAAATCGGATCAAAATTAGAATCTACCTTTTACATTCTGACATCTTGCTGTTGCTGTTTCAGGATTTGTCCGGCGAATATTTCTTCGGTGGCAATGGAAGGACTGTAAGATCCTCTGCGCTGTCGTATGACAAAGTACTCGCAAAGCAAATCTGGAGACTCTCTAATTCTATTTGCCAAAGAGCGATGGAAAATGAAGAGCAATGACGGGTTCAGTCCCTACTTTGCCGTCGAGACAGCGATTAAATTTCCAACGCCCCTATTCGGAGCAAATCCCGCGTTTGCCGCATCCATTATACCGAGTTCTGGTATTGGAAGCTCTCTCTATATTTTGAGCCCTCAGTTCTGACGAAACTGGTCGAGGGGCGCAGAGTGGAAACTCGAAGAAATTTCTTGCTGGCACAATCGCACGCGCGTTTCCTGAAAAATTCTTCCTCGGGATCGACACTTAGAGCAAGATCCACAAGATCAAAGAATATTTGCAGAACACCAGAGTTAGTTGCCTTCTTTATAGCACGCTCCTCCTCAAAAAGCGCTTGAATGAATCCCTGATTGTACACAAGTAGGAAGGGCACAACAATTCTTTACGAGTTAACACACGATACACAACTAGATGGAGACATGTCAGCCTCCCAACATTTTATTCCTTGACAGATAGATGTCACCAGAGAAAATTGTACTCTGCGGTGGAATTGTGTGATGTGCCGAAATGGTATCATCACGATACAGAAGAAGCAGAGGAAGAAGTGATGTTTTCCCCTGCTTCTTCCTCACCACGGAAATGGTTCACTTCTTTTCTTTGTCTACCTGTTGTCTTTCTGCTTGACTTTGCTTGTACGCATGGATTGGAATTTGACATGCGAGTCAGTCAGTGTGAGACGTCTTTCGCAAAGTCAATTGCGTGGACGAACTGAAATCCCTCGTCGATTCTCGCAAATGGCCACAGATGCGTCCATCCAATCCCCCCAGAACCCGAACAGATGCCGATGTGGAGTGCATGATGCGGCAGCAGCGTCTATGGTCTAGCTCCATCTCTTCGGTGGTGACCAAAACACTACCCAAGAGATGGAGCTACGAGCCCTGCCTTTTGATGAGAACGAAAGCTTTATGGTGTCAAAGGCTTCAGTCGCAGTGCAATTATGGGCCTGGAACCCGACACGAGTTGGTAAGCCGCCGTCGGGATAGACACGACGAGCTTACGCTCTTCTCTCTTTCAACGATATGGATCCCCATGTACTGCAAATTCAACATCACCGAAGATATCTGTAACAATAAAAGTGAAGGTGGATCATGTGCAAATGCAATTCCCGAGCTTGAACTGAAAGGGAGCAATGAAGAGCAGAAACGATGGAAGACCCAGTCAAGCTGCGTACGGTTGAAACCAAAGTTGTACAGTAAGACCAAAGGAGACAGATGGCGTAGGCCCCGGATGAACATCCCAAATTTGAGGAAGCGAGTATTTAATTCTCCTCCATTCCTGTCTTTTCTCGGTTCCATTTTCTGTACTTGAAAAATTCGTTTGGAATATAATTCCTTGAATGTGAATCATTTCTGCAGATGTCTTTTATCTTTTTGGTATGGCACTCATGTAAAGTGGAATATGGTATAGATCCAACCATGTTTAGTTTCTTAAAGCATCTCTTGGAAGGAAAGACAAGCTGGCTGGTATTTTCTCAAGCTATGTGATATATGCATTTTCGCAGTATATGCACCCGTGGAGCAGAATTACTAGGATCCCCACCTTCATGACGCACAAACAACCAATGTTTTTACAAACCGTTGCGCAACAGATCTCAGATCTGTGCTGCAGAGAAAACTTGCACTTCGCAGATGTGCAGATTTATATATTTTATTTTTAAATGCTTTTCTCCTGTTAACTGTAGTCAAGGCGAGTGTGAGAACCACCATTCATATGTCTACCTTAATCTGCTCATCATGAGGCTTGAAAGTGTATACATATCCATGTTTATCTATGTATATATTTATTATGCATCACCACATCCTGTTCATTTATGAGACCCTTCCACTTTCGCTCCAAAGCTCTTACTCATTCACTCGATGGTTTTACCTTCTTCTTTTGTTCGATCCTGGATTTAACATCTTTTGGCTTCTATGTTGTGAGTAACTTCTGTAAAATAATATGATACCTTTGTTTTTCGCCAATTACCCTTAAACTTTTCTTCCCCAGTCGGCTACGAACAAGTGTGTACGATATAATTTTGGAATGTACAGCTCTGTTTGTACGGTCCACACCATTCACAGTAGCCATTCAATATAGCGAGGACCGGATACTGTTAGAGTCGCAAACTACTTGTAATTTTGATATTTGGGGAAAACACAAGGAACATACATTTTCATTTATCTTAAGAAAAAAGTAAAAAAATATGTAAACTTTTATCATCCAAGAAATTAAGGTAAACGTTTTTTCTTAACTTCTTGGAAAATATCTGCATTCTAGTACTTTCTAATCATTGTGACACTCTTGAATCATTATAGATTTAGTTTTAAGAAACATAACCGGTCAGTAACTCTTTATCTACTTCCATGATCTCATCAATGGAACCATTGATATTGTTTGTTTATATGATTATCATATGAAGTCTTTGTCTACTTCCATGATCTCATCAATGGAACCATTGATATTATTTATTTATATGATTTATCATATGAAGTCTTTGTCTACTTCCATGATCTCTTCAATAGAACCATATAATATTATTTGATTACATGATTGATCATATGACATCCAATGATTCCTTTGTGCATATGCTTCAGTGGCCATTGATGGGTTATATTATCATTATAGCTCTAACTGCATAGAATCCTGACTAATGTCTAAACTTTGATCAACCACACTAAATTGCAAATTGACTGCAATTTATTTAGCACAAAGAGTGTTGGCTAAACTTGTATCTATATATAGAATGAGATTTTGATTCTGACTCTAGCTTTTTCTTTGAATCCTACATCTCCTGGAAACTTTACACTTAATCTTAAAAAACGAACATACAAATCCAAATTACAAAGTAAAATTAACATTCACATATCGTTGCCTTCACTAAGAATCATGATAAGATTGAAGTACAAAAACTGTATGGATGAAGATAAGACTGTCTTGACATGAAAGGTTTAAATTTCTGCAAAAAATGTTTTTATTTCTCAAATTTCATCCATGTTAAATAAGTTTTTACATTAGTCAATGAAATCTTAAGATATGAGGTTATTTCGTTATATTTCATTTTACATTTTTTTTGAGTTGAAGCCATACAACATAATCCAGACAATTAGTGATAAAATAAATTACTAGGGTAATTATTTGATATATATTTGAAGTTCTTAATTTGCTACTTTGTTTATAGATATTGAAAAAGTTCTTTACAAAAAGGAAAATTTACTTGCGTTCTGTTTCAAAATAGGTGTATAATGTGTTTTGTTTTATAAGTTTACATAAACAACAGTGTCATTGCCAATCATTATGGTGGTAAAATCATTCCAAGTATACAGGATCAAAGGTTTCAATTGGACTTAGAGTTTGTTATACATTAGTTTGTTATACATACCTTGTAGAAGATATCAATTGCCTCATCAGAATTTTGTGTCGACAAACTTAAACATTTTACTTGCCACATACACTTGATTGGAAAAGTGAAGAAAAAGCAACACAATGAATGACAGATCATATAAATTTCTAACTTCTGGAAATTCTATACCTTGAAAAATGAGTTATTTTTGTATCATGATTTGAATTTGCACATCAGTTGATGAAAATTAGTTTTCGAGAAATAATGAAACATTGAGTGGAGTGTTTTGTAAAAGCACTGCACTGGACAAATTGCTGAAGGTAAGATATCTATGCATGTGTTTTGCCACCATCAAGAATCAAATCTGCAACCATGTGAACTAGGATTCGTAAAAACTAATTTCTAATAGCGTTTAGGAGAGGATGAATTATCCTTTGTTTGTTTTGCAAACACGTTGTAGTTGTGATGAACTTGCCATCACCAACGTATGATTTCCAGCCAGGGTTATATGCACTACTACGGTGCTCTCTTCTACAATTTCACTCAGTTGGTAGTGAAGTTCATTAAAGGAGCTGAACAAGGAGATTTAGCAGTGAGACGATGGTCAAAGATGCTGAGATTTGTGGACATTGGGGACAAGTTTGATTCACATACGGCTGTCTAGGAACTCCAGATTTTCTGCTGTTGTAGACACTTCACCAAACACACCCTCACAGTCCTCACAACGCAAGGTTACGTGTTCTCATCCGTCATGCAAGGTCTGAAAAACTGGAATGTCAGCGACATGGACTGACAGACTGCAGTAGGTATGCAAGATGTGCACATACGTAACTTGGATGGGAGAGGATGAGCCATGGAACACAAGCCTTCAAAATAAAAAATAATAATTCCAAAAGGAACGAAGCAGAAAAAAAAATTCAATGGATGGGAACCTCAAACTCAACCAGGGCTAACATGGCACATGCACTCGCGGAAGGAGAGGGAGGACGACAACAACATGCTGTAAACATCCTCCAACAGCAACAGCAGCAGCAGCAGAACGGGAATCAGCTCGCTCACCGGTCCAAACCTGGAGGAACAGGACCAAAAGTCCGGGGAGGACCAGGAGGTCGTTGTCCAGGCAACGAGCTCGCGGACGGATGTAAAGTCCAGCGCTGGGGACGGAACAGGAACAGGGCCCGGGCTTCGACCGCGACACCCGATAGGTGCCCGGGAAGATCGGTAACGGTGGTGATGGAGCTGGTGGGTGCTACGATCTTCGCGGCACTGCCTAAATTTGAAAAAGATGGAAAAGCCACGTCATCGACGGAAAAGCGAAACGGACCCCGATCGGTAACCGTGCGCGCGATCGGTTCTTTCATTCCAGTGCAGCGGCCAGTAGTTGGTGACTGGCCCGCCCGCCAGCCCGCCCGCCCGCCAGCGGTAGTTGTGGCGGGGGAGGACGGAAGCAGAGGATGGCGAAGCGGCCCGGCCGGGCCGGGCAGGCCAAGGGAAGAAAAAGAAAAAGGCGAAAGAGAAAGAGCGGAAAATAGCGAGAGCCGAGGTCGCGGGCTGGCCGCATATGTATGTCCGCCATGGGGGCCATGTCAGGCTCGAACGGGACATTTTGGCTCTCGTTGTGCGCCGAGAGAGAGCGAGCAAAAGTGGTGGGAACGCGAGGGAAGGGAAGGGAAGGGAACCCGCCTGGCTGGCTGGGCTGGCTGGAGATTAGGCGGTCATGAGAGGGGCAAGAAAGGCGAGGGAGGGACGATTTTGAATGAAAGAAAAGATGGCTAGTACAGGTTTTTTAGGGTTACGAGTCCCGTCCGGAGGGGGAAAGGAGCGGATTGATTGATTGAACGAACGGAGGGAGGAGTTTGCGCAAACGCGATAGTGGGCGCCAGAGAGCGAGCGTAGTGTAGTAGAGCAGCAGCAGCGAGGGGAGTGGGAAAGGAAGGGGAGGAAAGGGGAGGGAGCCCGGGGCGCGAGTAGGATGGGGGAGGAGGAGCTGGCTTTGGCTTGCGCTGCCTGCTAGAGGAGGGAGGGAGGGAGGGAAGGAAGGCAAGGAGGGAAGGAGGGAAACCCGGGGCAGGAATGTCGAGGCGAGTTTGCCTCCTCCGAGCTCTCGGACCTTGAAGGAGGGAGCAGCCCGGCAGGGCCGACGGTATTCTGGTCGGGACTTCATCGTCGTTGCGTCGTTGCGCTATCGAGCTTAGGGTTGAAGCCTCGGGAAAGAAACGAGCTCCGTGCGCTGGAGCACTCACTGCGTCTTGGCTCGGCTCGGCTCGGCTCGGCTCGGGCTCGCGGACGCAGGTCACTGCGCGTGGATCCGCGGACATTGATGGAAGCATGCTCAGTCCATAGAGGTGAATAATATGAATATCATGGAGCGATGGAAGAAGGCATAGGTGTGTTCGGGTTACAGGGCGGGTAGCGGTGACGAGCAGGGCAATCGGACCCATCCTTATCGGAATTGGAAATTTGGTACTTTTTAGCTTCCGGTGTTGACTGACTGCCTACGGTTGTACAGTCCCGGTACGGTCAGCAATTAGAGTGGGCTAGGCAGCTGAACTCCGCGACACTGGACGTAAATTTTAGCTCGGTTCCAAATTGAAGGGTGCGAACGCATACAGGTGCAGACAGGTGCGAACGCCTGACAAGATGTCGACGAAAAGTGAGGCTCAGTTAGCTGACATCGGGAAGCGATTGGCACCGTCTCAACCGAAAGATGCACTCCTCAAGCTTCTGAAGGTTCTTTCCTTCTCTTCTCCGACCCTGCCGAGTTTGAATTTGCTGCAAAATACTACGCTCTTTGAATGTTCTCTTAATTTTGTCTGCCCCATTTTCCAAATCCAGCACTTGGTCCAGGCGGGACTCTTACTTCTTGGTCCACTTCTAGACCTCGGCGGATACTCTTCGCCGAGCGAAAAATCAGTTATTTCTGGGTTGGGTGGGAGGAGCCTATCAAGATTTAGAAAGTTTCGTAGTCCTTCATACCGCGCTACCCGGTGATGTTACGGTCCCGTCTTGATTTGGACTCCAAAATATTGGTGAGGAACAACGAGATGCAGCTGTACTGGTTTTGACAGGATGTACCGGAGGCGTGCACTCTGGCAGAGAATGGTTGCACTGCTTAATGGCTGGTTACAGGATTGTACGAGGCCGTGAAACCAAGGGAAAAGATTGGCCTGGATTCTTTGACACACTGTGACCTGGCTCCGTAAATGGTTTTCGACAATTTTGTTCTCACGGAACTCGGAATATTACCAACACAGCGATTGAGGGGATTACAGGTTTTTTAAGGAGTTGACTGCAGTCATGCTTCTGCGATTGTCCTCCTGCTTTCACCTGAAAGCCAGCTGTAGGTGAACCAAATTGGATGGGATTCGTGTAACTTGCAGTTCCTTCAAGACTTCCCCTTGTCTCGGAAAGTGTTCATGTTGGAGAGCGGCACGGTTCTTATTTGAACACATGCTGAGATATTCTGGGATATTCTTGGTACAAAGTGCACGATATTCGTGATTTTACAGATCATCTCCTTCCTTTACATTCAAAGCTTCGGAAGCTACCCCCAGGGTGCTGAAGTATCCTTGACACTTAACCTGAAAGTAGGAACATTGCCCGTTGCTTTCATGATGAGTACTCTGAGCCTTCAGGATACTCGCCCATGAAAAGATTTGAGCGGTTCGAGGATTACTTAGGTGGAGCTTAATTAGTTAGCTCTTCAAGGAGGATGGGTCTTTACGTTAGGTGGAATAGTCAGTGCAATTATCATGGGTTGGCCACTGCATTTTTCTCCACATCACAGCCAGAGGGGAGTTCGAGCTCAAATGGGTGGTTTAAGGGAAATGTACTTGATGAAGGAGCTCAACCTCAGAGATCGGAAGGACATCAAGATTACTTTCACTATCGTTCCGCTCCCGTCTAGTTAGCTTCCCTTTTTCTTCTATACCTGCCTTTCCGTGGCCACTATCCTTTTTGACTATTCGCAAGAGAGCGATCGAAAACGTCTCTTAATCTTCCTGTCGAGCTGCAATGAAAAGGGCCCGATTTTTCCTGTCATTCGCAGGCAGCCTATGTCTGCGAGACAAGTTTTCTGTGGGTCTGCGGTTCTTCTCATGCCGAAGGCCCTTATTTGCGACATGTACTTCTGGGCACTAGAGGAGCTTATCTTTAATTCATCCCTCGGGCGTCTACGTTGATTGTCCCCTTGCAACAGTGTTTGTCGGGTGGTTTGCCACTGGTGCAACACTGGTTTAGATTACCATGCAGTTTGATGAATATCTCTCACGGAGGCAGCTGTCGTTACAGCCCCGACCTTTTGAATCTTGAAGGCCTGGATAACCCCTCGGTTATCTTGAGTCTTGGACTTTAGCGTAGTCTTCAGTAGCGCAAATTTTCTGGTTTATGTGCTGGAAGTTTACTTGGTCTCAAATACTAAGTCCGTTGCATGAAATAGATTCAACCCTCGACCACTAGAGACTGACGAAGACCTGGCTGCTAGCTGCCACCCTGAAAGTCTCGTTCGATTTATCTCTGCTTCGATGACTGTCCTTCTGTTTCTAGGCCTCCGCTTCTCAAGACCTCTCAGTTCAATGGATGTCTTTCCGAGGATGCTTACCTTAACTTGTCGGCTCATAAGTCACATGCTTGTAGTATCTCAGAAATTCAAAATAATCGATGCCAGTCGATTAAGTGTACTGATTGTGATTCTCTGCAGTTCAGAATGTGCCTTCTGATCTTGGTTGACGGGTTGGTGTGCTGGCTGTTGTTGGCAATTGCAGCAAGCGGCAGTGCTTCTACAAGAAGTGGAGCAATCCCCTCCCGCCAGCACAGTTGCAGCGATGAAAGCTTGTACTGAGGCCTTAGTACTGCCATCGCTTCTAAGGCATAAGGATAAAGATGTGAAACTTCTCGTAGCATCTTGCATCAGCGAAATTATGCGAATTGTAGCTCCAGAGGCACCGTATGAAGACGACGTCTTGAAGGTATGTCGTTCATGCCTGTATTGATCGTCATTTTTCTAATACGTCAGCTTCAAGATTCTTAGTCGTTGTGCTTTGTTGCGTAGAAAATACAACATTCTTTTGAAAGATGAGCCTTATAGTACTGTGGTCGCATAAGCTACAGATGCGATCTTGGCATCCTTATCTTGTAGAGTTGGATCGGTTTCACTGGAAAAGGGCTGTACATTTCTTGCCGTACATGCTACTCAGTACTTTGGTCAGATGATACTTTAAACCTTTTAGTGGTCACTATGCTTATGCTACTGATTAAGATGCTAAAGTCCGCAACACTTTTCTTTTGATGAAAAAACGTTTATCCCTGTTCAGGATATATTTAATCTGATTGTGACGATCTTCCAAGGACTAAACGAAGTTTCCAGTCCATCTTTTCCAAGGAGAGTCAATATACTCGAAACAGTCGCCAAAGTCCGGTCTTGTGTCGTCATGTTGGACTTGGAATGCGACGACCTCATTCTCGAAATGTTTCATGTTTTTTTCAATACCGCAAGGTGAGCCACCTCTGAAGGCCCTCCTGATCGAGAATGTGAAGTCAATGTTTCTTATTGTTACAGTACAATCAGACGTCTCAGGATTGTAGACTTTAAGTTCTCCGTGTAGAGACTAAACATCCGCAATTAGATCTGCCCACTGAGCTACGGAACCCGGATGAAGATACGGTCTTCTGGTTTATATGGTTGGATTCTATTCAACCTGGTCCATTACATGTCTACTGTTTTATCAACATGTATCATTGACTGCACTGTTGTAATCAATCGGGTTCCTCTGCTGTACGTATTTGGTAGCTCAACTCGTTTGTATTTTTTTTAGTTTTTTAAAGCTTGTCGTCACTTTCTGACAAGCAGCTGATGTTGGGATATCTGCTGGAAACGCAGTGAGGAGCATCCTCAAAATGTATTTGTAGCAATGCGAAACATACTGGCGTTGGTCCTGGAAGAGAGTGAAGAGGTTTCTCAACCTCTGCTGGAGGCTGTTCTGACGAACCTTCTTAAAGACAATAAAGTAACTTTTCTCTCTCGTTTTCACTTCTTTAATTGTCGGTATCTTCATAATGCTTCTACTACTTTTTGGAAAGCTTCCGACGGAGAAAAGTCATAATGCGGCTCAGCTTGGCAGGTAGCTGTATTGTATCGCGCATTAGACCCCTCACTCGTGTTGGATGTTGTGCAGGGCGTTTCTCCAGCAGCGCACAAGCTGGCCGTGGCAGTAGTGGAGAGATGTGCTGACAAGCTGGAGCCTTATGTCCAAAAGTTCCTCACATCAGTAATGCTTGAAGGGAAGGGGTCAGAAAGCGAGTTGCAGGAGGATTACCACGCCATTATCTACGAGATCTACCGTTGTGCGCGACAAATGCTAATTGCTGTCATCCCTAATCTGATCCGAGAGTTAGTGGTACGTTCTTTGTGCCATCAAGCCCCTGATATATTTTCCACATTAGTTTCCTACTCGATCTGAAAGGTCCGTTATTTTGCAGACAGATCAGGTTGATGTGCGGCTGAAAGCTGTGGAGCTTCTCGGGAGACTTTTTGCTCTGTCTGGACAGCATGTCGCACAGGAGTATAAGCAGTTATTTTCGGAGTTTCTTAAAAGATTCTCTGATAAAGCTGTGGAAGTGAGATTGGCTGTTGTTGCATGCGCCAAGGCATGCTTGGAAGCGAATCCTTCGGGACCAGAAGCAACCGATATTTTGGGTAAGCCTTTTACGCTGTAAACTCGCAGTGTTGTTCCCTGTTGACTTGTCCATCTTAGGTCTCTTGAATCACGTCGAAAGTGTTCATATGTCTTGGTAGTAGAGATGGTGGTATTTCTACTGGTTCATGTTTCCTACCTGTTACTGAGCAAAGTAGACATTGGGTTTATTTACGTCCATAGGAAGTGTTCTATGAACGCGTAAAGCCAACACGTGTAGTGCGTAGGTTAAGGAAATGTACTCACGAAAGTGTTTATCGCCATAGCGTATAGCGCATGTTCATCGGGTTATCTTAGCTGTTTCATGAATGAAAAGTGTTTTAAGAGTATCCTTAGATAATTGTGCTCTTTTATTTTTTTCTATTATGCTAAACGGATACAATGATGCCTGTAAATATCCGCAGCCGGACTCGATGACCGCCTTTTGGACTTCGACGACAAAGTACGAATGTCGGTTGTGGAATCTTTGTGCGATCTTGTTAATACCAATCTAAAATGGGTACCGATGGATATGATCAGACGAGTCGCGGATCGGCTACGAGATAAAAAGGTATAGATCACGCTATACAAGTCTCAGGGTTATTTATGAGGTTAGTCAAATGCGACGAGCTTCAATATATTTACACATTAGAGCTCATCAACCTGAGTTTGTGGAATGGGTTCCTTTATCTCTCTCTCCCTCTCACTTTCTCATATTCGCGGTCCTCCTAATTTTTGCTTTTCCTAACTGATAATATACGTGCAGGTGTCTGTGAGGAAATATACGCTCCAGAAGCTGGCTCAAGTTTACCGGACTTATACCTCCAAGTGCAAGGAAGGGTCGTTGACAGTAGATGAGCAACATGAGTGGATACCTAGTAAAATTGTCCGATGTGCTTATGACAAGGATTTCAGGTTGCCTGGCCTTGCTTGTGATTGACCTTCCCTTCTTTTCGTATTCTACGTATTTTATTCCGTTCTACACTTTTGGCATTTCATCATCAGTCTCTGCAGTGATCGAAGTAATTACGTTACATCTGAGCGAACTGCCTCTGATTGCTTGTGCTGCAGACCCCAGGGTATCGAGATCGTGTTTACGGACGAGCTATTTAGTGCCGATCTTCCAATTGAGCAGAGAGCAAAACATTGGGTTGCAATGTTGGGTTCTTTCGATAAGAACGATGAGAAGGCTTTTCGAAACATTTTGGGGCAGAAGCTAAGGTAGATTAGTTTTTTGTCATACTTCTATGTACGTGTATGTTGTAAAGAATGCATATTTCCATGCTGCTCGCTTTAGGATCTTGGGCACTTCAGATGTGTACTTTTATTGTAGGTATCTCACACTCTCCTTTTACCTCGCATAGCAGAGTTGCTATGAGATGTTTCACATCTCGTTTCGGTCAGTTCTAGATTGCTGGAAACTGGTTTCAACAGTTTCGGGCAGTATGGTACTGGACGTCATATAGCTATTTCATCTACATTTTCTTGATAAGCTTAAACCTTCCTGTCAGTCACACATGTGTTCAACATGTGTTACCGAACTATGAGCAAGAGCCTGTCAATGCTTGTGAATCAGACTCCAATCCTACGCACTCTGAGTACGACCTTTGTGTCCTTCCCACATGTTACGTTGCACTTGTTAAGAAATATCTTGTCTATGCCATTCGTATTGATATCATTATAACTTTTCCTTTGTTCCTTCGATCTGAAGATTCTTGCTCAGATGTCGCTAATTATGAAACTGTGGCTGGTGATCGCTACCCTGTTATAACGTTGTAAATGTGTTTGTAGGCTACAAATGGAGATGCAGAATTATCTCACAATGAGACAAAAGAGCAAGGCAAGTTCTGTTAACCTGTGTTTGTCTTCTTTGATTGACACTACCTTATTGTCATTTGTGTAACGCGTTGGATATTTGGAAGTGGTGAAGTTTAGAAATGTTGATAAATAAAGGAGATTGTAGCTTTTGCGCTTGTCTTCTGGACCCCTTTCGAACTTTTAATGGGATCCATGGGAAAGATGATGCAAGAAATCTAACTTCCCTGTATCTAAGACAACATTGCAAAAATCGAGTTGTATTTGGAATATGCAGGCCCTTGTCTCGTGCTGCCTATTTTATCTACTTTTTAAAAACCTGTTGCTTTCAGGAGAAGTTCTATCTTTATTGATTTTTTGATCTCACTTCTAAAGTACTTAGAGGTCTCTCCGTACTTTATTGTCTCTATGTAGGCCGTATTTTCTGTAGCCACGTGGTACATAAATTGAAAGAAGGAACACAGGCCAAGGCGCAAAGTTGATTCGAGATGCAGGAACGTTTGCTGAATAGTAATAAAAGTTGAGAAACACGACAATTCATCCAATATGTTCTTACCCGGGATTAGTAGCTTTATTGGGAAGTGGGAATTAGTATGAGCTTTGCAACAATATAGCCAAGTGGTCGTAGTTGCAGCATATGACCATCAGCTCCGTGTCGGAGACGTGAGCTGACGACAGTAGAAAGACCTATATATCTCAGGTAGCTAGAATGAACAACATATGTTTAGTGTAGTGTATGACACAAATGAGATAATACGTTCACCATTCAGCACGAAAGTGTACATAAATCTGATGATACCTATCTTTTTGTACCTCCTCTCTTCAGGAGGAAGATACTCCGGAGCTTCAAAAGAAGATACAAGCTTGCTTCAAAGCAATTGCCGCGTCATTTGTCGATGCCACTAAGGCTGAGGAGAATTTTCAAAAACTGCATCAAATGAAGGACAATTATATCTTCAAATCACTGAACACATTGTTGAGCCCCTCGACTCTCTTCGCACAGGCGCAGGCTACAAGGGTTAGTTCAGCTCCTAACTCGAAGTATTCTGAGGGTTTCTTTCGGAAGTATTTACTCAGTCAGGAGTTGTGTTGTACTTCAACTTTTCTGAGTATGGCCAGTTCCACGAAACTCAAGAATTATTTTCTTCATTCGTTTGCGAGGAGGCGTGAGTATTCCAGCCTTTCTTTCGAACTTTTAACGTGTGGGAGAATAGCAAAGGCCGATTGAAAGGCTTGATCGTTACCTACTCTGCTGAAAGTCTAAGTGATGAACGTAGTAAGTAGAGTCTAACGGTGTTTTAAACTGCGTTCAGTAACTTCTTACATGCCGTGCAGGATGAGTTGCTGAAGAGGATTGGAGAGAAACACCCGCAGCATGACTTTATCAAGACGCTTGCCACAAAGTGCTCGTTCCTACTTTTTAACAAGGAGCATGTTAAGGCAGTCTTGAAAGAAGTTTCCATTAACAAGCTCTCTGGAAATAAGGAGTTTGTAGCATCTAGCTTGTCTCTGCTTGTGGTGAGTAATCTTTCTTGCATGTCCAGCGAGGACTTCATCCCCGCCTTAATACTTGAAGTCATGCCCATATTTGCATACTGACGTTACGTCAAACGATGTTCAACGTGGTTTCTGAAAGTTGTGCTATATCTAATGAACACACACTATTTCTGTACTACAGGAATTCGCTGGTTTTTTCCCAGCCTTGTTGGAAGGTACAGAAGGTGATCTTCTGGAGCTACTCAAAGAAAGTGATGAATCAATCAAAGAAGGTGTCGTTCACATTCTAGCCAAAGCAGGTGGTTCGATACGGGACCAGATTGCAGACAAAGAAAGGTACAGCATCGTACCCACAAGATACTTCGAATGCCGTAGTCTGGCTTCCGTTTTGGCGTGTCGTCATCGAGTCCTTTATGTTGTGTAGGACAGTGGGCTTTGATGAAATGGAAGTCTTGGCACTTGAATTAACCCTGTGTGCTAATCCATGCATGCTTAACGCCGAATGAGGTGGTTAAAGATTAGCAAATTATGTTGGAATTACTTGTTGACGACTCTGCCTTGCATATGTTCGAGCAGTGCCGTTGATTTGACCCTCGAGCAGCTCTGCTTGGAGGGTAGTCGCAAACAAGCAAAACATGCTGTTTCTGCAATCGCTGCAATATCAGCGGATTCGGGTCTGAAGGCTTTGTCAGTGTTGTACGGGGTATGTGATTGTACTTTTCTCTTCTTCTAGAGTTGAACACTCAAGTTTTATGCTACTGGCTTTATAGTGCTCTCAAATGGAGTTCCATAGTTGCTGCATACCGAATACCGAATACCCTTGCTAGCTTTTGTGGAGTGTATTACGATCAGTTGTTGACCTGATCACAACCTTGGTTATCTGCAGCGACTTGTTGATTTGCTGGACGATTTGTTGAAAGCCCATCTCCCGACGATTCTTCAATCACTTGGTTGTATAGCCGAGATTGCCATGCCTGTTTTTGAGACTCGTGAAGAGGAAGTCGTGCGCTTTGTAGTACGGAACCTTCTAAAGCGCGAAAGAGTAAGGGACAGTATGGAAGATTCTATCAAAGTCTGTTTATAGGCATTTAGTGCATTACTCTTGAATATCTTGCGTTGCTTCGAAGTGTATTTCGAAGCGCAGAAAGTGATATTTCTGTTTTCCGCTCAGGTTCAGGAGGAAGGGTGGAAACCTGACTGGGAAAATCCTAGCGAGGAATGCTTGTTGAAGGTAGGCTCAACAATGTTCACAATCTCTTGATTTTAGAGAGGGCAGTAGATTAGGTGATACATATGTTGGTTTGGATTTCATCCGTGTGATCTCATGTTAGTCCGGAAGATCAGATCTTTAATATAGGGATCTAAAACCAAGTATTGTTCATGTGGTCGTTCTTCACCCTCCCCCTTTTCTTGGTCCGAATCGTTCTGTAATATGAAGTAGATTTAGAAGGTCCACTTATCTACACAGTTACGCGCGTGACAGATGTCATCTTATTTCCAACATTGTTCTTTGGACCTTGGAGACCATGCATTTGTTTCCTGTAAGAATCCTGACGTCCTCGTGACTCCTCCGGCCATGTGTGGACTTCTTTCTTTGATACAGATTTACGGTCTCAAAGTTCTCGTGAAGAGTTTCCTACCAATCAAAGACTCCCATTTGCGTACTTCCAAGCTGAAAGGACTCCTTGGAGTGGTGGCCAAGCTCCTCACAATTGGAGAGGTCTCAGAAGATATTAAGTCAAGGTATGGGAAAGAACATCCTAGGTTTTTGAGTTAATAGTTCCTGTACAACACACAAATTCTAATTTCCCCTGACGAGAAGCTCACAACGGGAGGTTACAAATGGAGAGGTCCCGTCTTAGTGCGTAGTGACATGACAATGTCAAACGCTCGCTGTCGGTTCTCAAGTTTGCCTATAAAATTATTGTTTTCGTGCTTGCTATCATCTTCCCTCTATTACGACTTGCTTCTTTGTAAAAAAACTTAGTTAGGTTGCACAAAACATGCTATAGTTTCCAAGTGTTGTCTGCATCCATCTGACGCTTGTTTGATCTAAGAAGCGTTGTTCCCCCCGTCTTGTCGAGGAGGACATTTTGGAAGACTTTATGCTACGACTGAATTTTAGATAGGTTGGTCCTGTCTTTGCCATTTCACATTTCCGCGAGACAATCGGAGACGAGACTTTAAGCGTAGTCTTAACGAACTCTGACGTTCTTTTTTTGTAATGGCCTTTTCGCAGTGACATCGACAAAGCTAATCTCCGCCTTGCTACTGGAAAAGCAGTTTTGCGCCTTGCTCGGCGCTGGGACCAACAGATTTCCCCCAATATTGTCCAATCTACTCTGCTCTTGGCTCATGTAAGTTAGTCCAAGACATACTGCCGACAGTTTACTAGTTGCACGTATCGGGGTTGCCATAACTTTTTACACTTAACATATGTATCCAGCTTCAAGCGTTTTGTGCATAGCTCTAATGATGTTTACTTTGTTCGCCCCTCTGCAGGATCCTTCAATTCAAGTGCGGCAAAAGTTTTTACTGAAAGTTCATCAGTACTCCAAGGAACGTTCTCTACATCAGAAATATGCCTGCGTTTTCGCACTGGTTGCTGTTGACCCTTCTAAGGAAATCGTGACAGATGTAAGTATCATCGCAGATATTGGCGTCGCCCAAATCCACTTTGATTTTATTTCTTTCCATTCTGGACTCTCCTCTGTGACTTACATTTTCGCTCATCCTGGAACATTCATTGCTGTAGGGAAAACGGTTCTTGGCTGATTTCGTTGAGACTTGTCGACGAGAGGCTCGATCACGTCAGGTCTCACTTTCTGGACAAATCGAAGGGACCACTATAACTTACCATCCTGAATACGTACTTACTTACCTGGTTCACGTACTTGCGCACGAGGCGCTCTTTCCAGCCGATTCGACTACCGATGTTTCACAATATGAGCTTGTTTACAGGTAATGTATTGTCTGTTGTGTTAACGAAATATCGAATTGGGCTTATATATTGAGGTTTCCAGTTACCTGTGCCTGTTTCTTATTCGATTATATTTGAAATGCCTTCCTCGATGAGCAGGCAGCTTTTAGCATTTCTGCGCGCGTTGGTCCACCAAGATGGAGATGGCCGCAGTGATCTGGGAAAGAAAGAAGACGTTGACAATTTACCGGCCATTTTAGCAATATTCCGCAGTATCAAGAATGCAGAAGATCTTGTGGAGAAAGACAATTCTAAGGTTGGTGTGTCTTGTCCCCAGTTCCTAAGCCTTGTTCTCGGAAACAGTAATTCTCCGTTTTTTTTATTAATTCGTGCCGTGCTTTCGCTAAGCTTAGAAAACTAAAACTAGAACTAAATACTCTGGCTATGTCCTCACTCCATTTGTAAACTGGCTGCAGTCATTGTATACTGTGTGCGATATCGGTATTCTCATCACTAAGGACCTCGGCAAGAAAAAGCATTATTCTGGGGAATACCCCGGGAGTATACCTCTGCCTGCAGCCCTTTATAAAGTAGTGGAAGCTTTGGAGGGTGAAGAAGCACCACAGCCGAAGGTAAGAGCGCACGTGATTTCATTGTATTGCCTGGAACAATTAGCGTTCGTCACAGTATTTTTAAAGGAGGTAGCTAACGATCTTCTATCTGCTATCTCATGTTTATAGGTTGATGGAAGTCATCTGCCTTCCTGCTTTTCGGAGAAGGATGTTTTGACCCGATTTCGCACTGGGGGTGGTACTTCTCGCGCTGGCCAGGTAAATGTGACATTGAGTTTTTTCTTGTATTTGGCTTATTTTCTATGTTGATGGATGTGTTTTGCTATATAGCAAAAGCCGGCTCCTTGAATTTACATGTAGGACGCCAATCGTCTAGTTTTGTGCCGCTAGGCGATTGAATACCTGCCTCATGAATTTTACCATGTACATGAGCCAGCCCGCAAGTCCTCGAGGGCATAAACGAGAAAGGAGAAGTCTGGATGAAGATTCTTCGTCTGACGAAGGAGAGAAGGACGACGAGGGTGATCCTCAATCGAAGAAGGTGAAGCACAGTGATCCAACGGACGGCGCAGTAGAATCACGGGAGGATGACGACGTAGAAGATGCGTCACTTGCTAGTTCAAAGCCTACCCGTGGTAGGAAGAAGTCAAATGGTGACAGTCAGAAGAATGGGATGATGAAGTTACCTGTGAAGCAGAAGAAGGACACTGAAGAAGTTACCCCAAAGCGGAAGAGGGGACGACCTGCTAAGAGCAGCAAGCCCCCGGTCCCCGAAGAAGTTGAGCATTCAGAAGATTCTGCTGCTGCTGCTACCAAACAAGAAGAAACAATGGACAAAGCAAAGGGCAAGAAACTGTTGGTAGATAAACAATTAGCCAAGAAGGATAATCAGGACGTCCAGAAAACATTGCCTGAAATGTTCAGGAAGAAGCCAGTTCGTGGTCTTAAGGTCGGTTCTGAAGAAGCGGGCAAAGACGATGCCCAAGAAGGGAATAAGGTGTGAAACTTGAAATATAAATTGAGGTTTCACTAATATACGCTCATATCTGGTTGGTCTAAGCATCTGACATTTCTGCGCTCATAGCTTCATCCAAACTGACTTGCTCAATGTTCTGTAAACAGAGATTGGCAGAATCTACCCGGAGTCCCGCTATAACTCCAAGAAAGGCACCACAAAGAGCTAGTGCCTCGGCCGTGGAAAAAGTGCGACATTCACCTAACCTATATTTCTTTCAGGAGTGACCAATGCTGATTGTCGATGTGACGTAAGGTATTCAGATACTGCTCGCGTTCGTTTGTTGAGACAAAGAGAATTTTTTTCTGAGAAAGGTGATTATGTTCGTGCAGACTCCTCCTACTAGCAAGGTGGACATGGATAGGAAAGAGGAGGAGCTTATTGGTTGCAAAATCAAAGTTTGGTGGCCTCTTGACAAACGGTAAGACCTAGGTCTATTTCATTGGATTATTTAAAATCATTACTGCATGAAGCTCATGTCGCTGTTACAATTTAGAACTTGTAATTAACATCTTTGTCTCTTTGTTCTACACAGATATTATAGAGGAACAATCACTCATTATGATGCGAAGAAGAAGAAGCACAGGGTAATGTATATCTATATTGATTAAATCTTATTCTCGTAAATACTCGTGACTTACGGTATTGGTTAGAGATGGACCCAAAGTGTACCATCTTACGTTAGGATGGTGACTCAAAACGCATTGCTTTTGTTCAGGTAATTTATGATGATGACGAGGTTGAGAACCTTATTTTGGCGAATGAACAGTTTATAATTTTTGACAGTTCAAAGGCGCCTCCGAAGAAGGTTTGTGTTTCAGACATTTGTGAGAAATTCGTGTGATCTTGAGTTTTGCTTCACATTTTCGACACTGCAAACTCGTTTAGTTCGCACACCTATGTGCATCGTATTCTGTATATGGATATGAACCATACCTCTCAAGGATACAGAGTACGGTATTTGAACCCATCACAGTGCCTTTTCCCGCAGTCGCATCTGCATGTCTTTTTCCGTTGCGTTTGGAGATTGGCAGTAATCATCATTATATTGATCGAAACATGGCCTATTGGTACTTTGCTGATGGATTTCAATCTGTACTTGCAGGTGACACCGGAGAAAGCTGTCGCGACACCTTCCGGAAGCGGCCAGTACGTACATTTTCTTTATTTTTGAATCACTATGTTTTGTTCTCTACTTCCCTTTTTACTTATGAAGTTACAACTGGTGTCCCGTTAGTTTTAAGACCACGAGATCTATTGTTGTGCATTTGTGGTCGTATGAGCTTCAATCAACTAACATGTCCGGAAACTTCACCAGCATGCCTGTACTGCTGTGTTAGTCTTATTCACTGTATTTGTTCTCGTTCATGAGTGGATTTTATTCGTGTCTCTTGACCAGGTCAGGGAAGCTGAAACGAAAAGCGGCAGTTCAGACAGTGGACAACGGTAGTCAAAGCCCTGGACCTTCAGATAAGAAGTAAGATTACGTACTCACTTTCTGTGCATAATCATAGACTTAATTGGTATGAACTCTGTTTTTTCACTTGAACGGATGTTTCTACCTTTCAAATTACAGTGGATGTCAAGGTAGAACGTTTGCTCTTTTTGGGATCCACATGTAGCCGCTGCGGTCCTTGTCTAATTAAAGTTAGAAAACTTGTCCAGGAGGGCCACTACTCCCAAAGGCGGGAAGGACTCTGGTGCACATAGTCTGCAAGGAGTGGGTAGAGGCCTTGCCCAAGCGAAGAGCGGAAGTTTGTCTAGTCCAACTGCAAAGAATTCCAAAAGGTCTGCTTCCATCTCCGCCGGACCTTTTGCCTTCAGCGATGAAGATCTTGAGGAGCCTGCCAATGAGAAAGGAGGTGGAAAGCAAGCGAAAGGTTCATCTGCTCAGTCCGCTAGCAAGGGTGAGTTTAGTACCTCGCCTCCTCTTACGTGGACTGATTAAGCTGTATTTTATTATTCGTATCTTCATCCCTACCTGGAGTAGTAGGAGATGCCTTTTGACATGTAGGAGTAGTGAGAATCGTTTTCTGACATATGGAGAACTGTCTTTATACAACGTAGTTTTTCTCATTTGGTTTTTTCTTGGAGATAAGTTCTGAGTCAGGTCGAAGGGTTAAATCGCCTACGCCACCGGCGTAAACGATTTATCACATGTTGAGAGATTTGTCCAATCAAATTTGAACTTCTTTTCAAATTGAATTCTGTTGTTTTTCTTTCAAAATCAAATCTCTCACACGTTTGAGACTGTTTGCACTTTCTTTAGGGATCACAAACATTAAGTTCAAAAGGAAGGCTGACAGTGATTTGGCCAAAGAAGTTGTCGAGAGCGAACAATCTAAGGAGAAAGCAGGGAAGGAGAAGCTGAAAGAGAAAGTAGAGAACGAGAAGCCCAAAGAAAAGGTGGACAAAGATAAAGCTAAAGACAAGGTGGACAGTGAAGCTTCTAAAGAGAGGTCAGACAGTGACAGGTCGAGGGAGAAGACAGAGAATGAGAAACTTAAAACCAAAGCAGATACGGAGAAGGAGAAGTCTAAATCCAAAGCTGAATCAGAGAAGGAGAAAACCAAAGAGAAGGTTGAAACTGAGAAGGAGAAGACGAAAGCAAAGGCAGATTTGGAGAAGGAAAACGCTAAGCTCAAGGCAGAACTTGAAAGTCAAAAGGCGAAGGCAAAGGCAGATTTGGAGAAGGCAGAGAAAGAGAAGGCCAAGGTGAAGGCTGAGCTGGAGAAAGCGAAGGCAAAGGCGGAGGCAGAGAAGGCAAAGTTGGAGGCCGAGAAGGCAAAGTCTAAACCAGAGGCAGAGAAGCCCAAAGCCAAGGTAGATGGGGAGAAACCCAAGTCCAAGCCGGAAGCTGAGAAGCCGTCTAAGACCAAATCGGATGGTGAGAAATCCAAAGGGAAAGCAGATGGTGAGAAGACGAAGACAGTGGAGCTTGATCAAGCTAAAGGGAAGGCTGAGAATGAGAAACCGAAGGAGGTCGCTGAGACCGAGAAGTTGAAGGGGAAGGTGCCGGATGAGACTGTCAAGGCTAAAGGTGAAGCTGTGACATCCAGTGAAAAGGCTGACACTGAAACTTCGCAAGAGAAGGTCGATGATGAGAAACCCTCGGATGAATCTCCTGCCAAGAGCACTGAAGAGGCAGGTGGGACGGTAGAACCAGGGAAGGTCCAGCTTCAAACTGAGTCTGAGAAGAAAGCAGAAGCTGATTCTTCCACAAAAAAGTCCACTTCAAATAGCAAAAGTGCTGAGCCAGAAGCCGAGTCTAAGAAAGACGACGATGACGAACCTCTGGTAAGGAACGAACCTTTTTGGTTCACGAAGATTTTGGTTGTTTGTCAAACTGAAGAGAAAATAATTAAGGAAGTTCTTACTCTAGGATTGAAATCAAGGAGCAGTGTGAAGTCGTCCCATGGTGTACTCAACGTAATTCATATATGAACAGGCAGGTCAAAGTGAAAGATAGTAACAATTGTTCCTGAACAAACAATCAAACCAAGATGTAGAATCAACAGATTAGACATCTTGTGTTCTAGAATATGTCTGAGAAATCTTGTGTGACGCAGGGTACATGGAGGACACGAAGACGAAAGTTGCATTGATTTCTCATGAGACGTTTAGGGTGCATTGTTCTTGGAGCGTATAGTAAGACTTTGAACTGTGTAGAAGCAGTCATGTAGTAGTATATCCCCTCTTAATTTTTGCTGTACCTTTTAGACTTTCGATCAGGGATGTCAGCAACCCATCCCTTCAAAAGAGGTAAACTGGATGTACTTAGAATGGAGCCAGGTGTCCCAACAAGTGGGTCTGCCTTCTAGTGCATCCAAGTCATAGTGATAGACGCTTAGTGGGAGGAGAGCAACCACCTCTAGTCAGCTTTATTTATGGAGTCTTATGTTGTAGATTAATCCCTTAGGTAACAGCACCATTTTGTTGTTGGACTAATTTCTGTCCTCTGTAGGTGTGTTGTAAAAAAAACAATCTTCTTCCTGTATCTGGGAAGAGCAACGATTGCACAAGACATAGTTAAATAAAATTGAGCAGTTTAGATCCTTGGTCATGCTTATTTCGAATGAATGCCTTTATTTCGTAGTCATTTTTTTAGGAAGTGTGTGACACTTTTAGCAACAGTGTCTTTTACACCATGATCCAGTGGAGCCTTGTGTTCAGTCTGACTTTATTGTTTTCTTGCACATTCCAGTATAGAAGCGAAGTTCCACGTTGTTTGACGTCTTCCATACATAGCATAATTACATAACATGAATCAAGGATCGAATTTCAAAATGCGTTGCCAACTTCCTGTTCACTGTGCTGAATCGTCGTAAAGCTTGTCCTGTGCCTCGGAAACTCTCGTGGTTCTCTCTGAATTTGAGATTGACTATAGAATGGTAGCAAAACTTTGAGTCTGTTTGTGGTGCAGACTCTAGTTTAGAAGACGATGCCCTCGGTAGTCTTGCTGTTCCAGTCGCAGAAGATAAAAGATGATGACTTTGTATCATACATAGCAAACGACAATGAATTGCGTTCTGATATTTCCTTTTATTGTTCATGATGCCCTAGACCGAGTATATGACTTTATTATTATTTGATGGTCGAAAGTCTTCTGTTCTTTCGATTGATTGGATTATTTATTTGGACACCTTCATCGTTTTGTTATCTTGTTCTATCGGATAATTGACTCGGACATTCTTGGCTTTGCTGCAGTCAACCAAAGGGGAAGCGGGACTCTAACATCTTAATTTATTTGGACCTCCTCAAGGTGGTTCTTTGGCGTTCGATGACACTGTGATGTTTGAGTGGTCAATCGCTCAGGTCACCTTGCAGTAACAAACTGGAAGAGTTTGTGTGCTTGATACGGATGGACAACTTAGATTACATGAGCCAGCAAAGCACGATTCTCAATAGAATCCGACCACAGGTGGAGTCGTCTGAAAGAAAGCTACAAGACGCGCGGGTTCTATTTAAGACCACTGTAACTAAGCTTTGTATCCCTTGTTCTCTTCCAGTCTCACCAAGCAACCATGGTGTAGGTTGTGGAGAGGCTTGCCCCTGCGAGTGTTGATCTCTACAATCCCTTTGATGGTGACATCCTGAGTCTTCGAGGTCTCTGAAGTTTATCTTTATGTATAGGTTCCAGAGCAGTCAATATTTCAAGCCAAGAAGCACTTCGAGTCCTTCCCCCGATATTAATTCCAGTTGCCTCAACGGGAGGAGATTCGTCGCACATCTAGATTTGATGCGTCACTGTATATTGCCGTGTACATAAGGTGCCCAGGGTTCTTGGTCTCAGGGGATGTGAAATTTTGAGGTTGGTAGGAACATTCATGCGTAGCTGCTTAGGGTGATGTGCTTAATCATAGGGGAAGTGGAAGAGTTCAACATTTTCACTGTTTGAATCATTACCTGCTTTCGAGGTCATGGAGGATTGTGTTAGTAGTAACTGAGAGCAACACTTCCTCGATACTGTTGCCTTGTTTGGCTCCGGGACGTGATTTATATAGAAAGGATTGGCGATTATGCCACTTCGTCTTGATCTCAATATCGTCTGCACAACGCTCAATTACACTTTCCAGCAACATATATGATATGGATGTTATTTGTGAGTAGCACCTTTTCTCGGCTTATATAGGTAACTTGAAAGGAGAATGTTATAGAACATTCAAAATCTGAAATGCCCACAGAAAATAGCGCTCGGATTTTCGCTTTTGCCTTTAATGAAATTGTTTTGTACCTAGTTACATATGTCCAAAACCTAGGGAAACAGAGAGTGAAGCCTCATATCTCCGATGCAAGAGTATCAGAATTTTGTGCGGTCGTGAATTTTATAAGCATCTTCGGGTCTAGGGGAATCTTGTTGTCCCGACCCATGTATACAAACCGAAAGAATGCTGGTATGACTTCCGAGATTTGATGATTCAAACGTTTCTGTCTGACTGAAAGTGACCAACTCTATTGTCATGGTTTCGAATTTTGGTATATAACATGTTTAAAGTATGAGAACAAGATTAGCCAGTGAATTGATAATTTTGTAGTGTCCATTATATAAGATATATCTTCTCATAATTAACTGTCGAATCAAACTTTGAATACATGTCAATTTTCCGCAGTGATTGGGAATGGTGGATCACTGGAGTGATGAGTGCTAGCATCATAAACTTTCGGCGTCTTAGGTTTAAATCAAATGGTTGAATATAATCAAATCCTAGTATTAGGGTCAAATCTAGAAATCAGCAGATCATACAGCATGTTGGTCACGTCATAGTCACGGGAGAGTTTGACTTTTGGTGTTATAGGTAGGGTACGTGTGATGTAGAGTTTTCTTTCTGGAGGTTCCTTGTGATTTATATTATCGAAAGTTACAATCAAGTTTATGTACCAGGTTGGTTTAGGTTGGTGCTTTGTTGTTGTAATGGAAGTGAAGGTGAGAATATAGTTACAGGGATGAATTTCTGATCGGACACTATCCATTTCGTCATGTAGCCAGGATCTGCAATGAGTGCATGTTGCATTCGTGCTATATAATCTACGGTGAGTAAGATGTGTTGTGTTGTGGTTTATGGTGTCAGTTGAGAATTTATCGCTGTATTATCATGAAGATGACAATATCGTTATCAAGGACATTGAGGAGTACTTCAAAGTTTACGGAGGAGAGATGGCACAGTTGGCGGAAGATTCATGAGTACCAGATCACTTATGGTGGATGCGGTTTAGGTCTGTGACGATGAGTTTGGTGATATTTGAAATGTGTATTTTAAAATTGTGGCTGTTGTAAGACATGCACCACATCTATGGGATCATATAGAGTCTCTAAACGAGTATGCTTCGTAGCATTGAGTTAGAGAACTCAAAACACAAGTTTTGGAAATAAAAATAATCTCCAGATTACACCTATTTTACCTTGTATATAATGGTTGATGGTGCAAATTCATCTACTACACTCACACTTGTGAAACAATAAAATCTAGTCAAGTCGACAAGTATTTAGAGTTTTCAAGCTTTAGTATGATTTTGAGGTTGTTGCACGGTTGATGAGAGTTTAGAAAGGGTGGGGATTTACATGCTATGAACATTTAAAAAAAAATAATAGAAATGATTCAAGATAAATATATTTCAATCTTATGAATCTTATAATCCTGTGGCTATATATGATAATTGCTCTAGGTTTTATATTAGTTCGGGGATTTCAATAGGGATCTCATGTAGAGTGAGAGATATGAATGCTGTACATGATATATGAAATGTGTTGGAGTAGGGACGAGGAGAAAGAAGAGTCGCAACCTGATAACTAGTAGTGCATGCTCTCCTAATGCATGGGTAATAAGAATTGTATTTTGCTTTGTCATTTGAGTCGAAAATAGGTTAGATTTGACCAAAACAACCGATTGTGTTATCATCAATAAACATATAGGATTTAAAGACAAACATGAATATTTGCTATGACAAATTTCCCATTGTTATCGTTGTATTTGCCAACAGAGTTTGTGTAGTAACGCGACTGCTAATTGAAAGTGAAAAAGTAGAATAGTGAATGAGCCGAACTCTAGAATTATCAATTGAATAAGTGAAAGAGTAGAAGTGTGGATGAGTCTAATTCTAAGACTGCGATTCATAATAAATGATATCCGTATTAATAGTAAGTGACATGAAGTCTCGATATTGAATGTATCAAGTGAAAGTGATCATACAAAGTGCTTCAAAACATCAAAGAAGAAGTGCAGATATCAAGTACCGACGCCACAACGTTGAGACACAAATACTATAGTGAAGTGTTGAAGCCCCACTACTGAAACAAAATATCAAAGTGGAAATGATGATGTGAAGAATTGAATTGAAGCGTAAAATCTAAAGTATATAATGTACCAAAGTGGAAGTGCTCATATAAATTACTATATCGGAAGTGGCGATGCAAAGTTTTGACAGGTAGTGACCAAATTAGAGTGAGTAATCGCCAAAGCCAAATTATAGAATGACAAGATGCAAAAGCCAAATTGCTTATACGACCGGCTCGACACACTAGAACCGAAACTTGGGATTGCCTAACGTAACTACCGGGAATCTGGCTAGGAATTTACAAATACTTACCATCTTTTGTGTCTGAACCGAGGAGAGGAGGTCAACGGGGTACTCGTAGTAACGGAAATACCGCGAAGGGGTCAGAGCAATACAAAGATGACAAAATTGTGAAGTCAAAATGTTAATAAGAATAGCCAAAATTGAAGTGTTCATACAAACTGCACATTTGAAAATGGAAGAAGTATGGAGCGAAAGTGGCACAAAAAATAATTTGCTGATTTTGTAAAAAATGACAAGAATTTAAAACTAATAAGTCTTTTCAACCCTAGAGAGGTAATGATGACTAGATTAATTTTAACAAAAAAATTCAAGTTAACAATGAAAATGTGACATCATTTTGGTGTCAAGAAGATGAAAAGAACAAAAATCTTTTTGCAAATTGTGATCAAAAGTATTATAATAAAAATTTGAACAATTAATACAAGAGATATGTTTGAAAAGAGTAAGGTTGTGAGTAATTCAATAATTTTAAAAAATTTTGAAATTGGATATTTGAAAATTTGAAAATTGTAAATTTTTGTCAAGATTTTAGTACATAGCATTTTCAATCATTCATCTTGAATGTTTACAAGATTTGAAATTTGAAGACTCTTGTAAAGGAGGTTTTGCACATAAATCATTACATTATATAGATGTAATGATTTAAAAATAATTGAAAATAATCTGGAATGAAATATTTTTAAAAAATATTTGCAATAAAATAAAAAAAAAGTTTTTTGACATGAAGATTAATTCAATTATATCTCATTGAAAGTGTGCCAATTTGGATCAATCAGAATTTCTTCTTTGAAATTGATAAAAACAATGCAAAAATATTATATAGACAAGTTTTAGACATTTTTAAATCAAAATTTATCTACATGCAATATGAATGATAAATTTGATGAAAAATCTTTGATATAGATTAATATTTGTTACTTTTGTTGCTGTTAGGTTTATTGTGCGAATATGTATTGTCATACAATCTACATCGTTGACATGCTACTCATACACGCACACACACATAGAGAACAAGAGCGCACACACTCTAATGGAAATCAATCGTGTAAACTCCACTAGTTTAAAATATGAACATCACATAAAGTCAAAACCAACCCACTCACTCAATATAGAATCCAGGTCAAAGCTTACGGGCCACCAAAGTCAACTTATTGAAGACTACTTCCAACGCTAAGAGTCTCAACTCAAAGAATTGACGGTTCTTTGAGTTTGCAAGAGCTATACTCTTCAACGAGAGTGACCTAACTCTCATAAGATACTTAAAATAGAAACATCTTCCAATCAGAACAACATTAATAGGTGGAATCAGACACGACATGTGACATCTTGTAGAACACCTATCTCACACAAGCATATGGGCCGTGTGACCAGCTGATCCACATAACATGCATCTCAAACCATCACGTATTATTTCCAAGCTTGGATCTATAGTACCATCCACGTTTGGGAGATGACATGGCGCATAGTTGCGCACATGATACTTCTACACAACACCGTCACGACCCTTCAACATGAAACTTCACAAGATAACACATCCCACGCTCGCAAGATAGTGCGTCCCGCCGTATCATCCAATATTGTCGGTGCATTATTGTAACCATCTTTAGTTAGTAAGAACTAAAGTAGAGATTACTCTAAATGTTGATATAGATACTTTAGAGTACACTAGGCGTAGTTGCCACGTCAGCGATCCGCGCGCTTGGTAGGTAAAGAGTAGGTGTGCTAGCTAACAGCGCCACGTTAGCAATCCGTGTGTTTGTTAGATAAGGATTGAGTGTGTTAGTTAGTGTGTTAGTTAGGGACGCTATGTTAGCGATCCGTGTGCTTGTTAGGATAATCCGCCACATCATCTATGCACTAAGAGTAGAATGGATGGTGAGGATAAGATATTATCTCCTTGTACCTGTTAGTGAGAGCTATATAAGGGGGAGTAGAACTATTGTTGGTATCTCTCATCTTCAAAGTTTATGTTTCTATCTTCGAGTGAACTTCTCTCTAAACCCTAGTGTTACAATTGTGTTTAAATAGACATAATCTTCCACATGCAACCTACGAATCGATGGTTGATAACTTCATCCTCGGATGATTGCATATCGTAACGTATCTTTATGCTGAGCAATTGCAAGATTCTCAAACGTTGAAGTCAAAACTCTCCGAAAAAGCTCTAGACGTTAAGAACACATCCTCATCCACATGTCCGCGTTTTCAAGGTTCATCACCTCACTAGACTCACAACGAATCGATGTCGACAGGTCTGGATCTCGACTGTACAACACAAAATATGATGAGTAAGAAGCCAATGATGCTTGACAATGAAATTGATATCCCATGGCAAGTCATGATAACTTAATATCACAATATCAAAAATACCTCTTCTGTAGACCATACTTGCGCAATGCACTCTTGACTGTCTATACAACACTTTTAGTCAAATCATTTGCTTCTGGATGATCTCGAGATGTGGTTTGATGATCAATCAGCGCCTTGTCACACAAAACATGAAACTCACCTTGAAACTTTGTATCTTGATTCATCAACACCTCAACTAGTGCATCAAAGTGACTAATCATCCGGTCAAGAAAAATATATGCTGCTCCCTCACTCGTCTTGTCAAGTAGTGCCACCAACTCCGTCCACTTGGAAAAATGCTCCACCATCACCAACGCATACCAATGATGTTGTATGCTCAAAGGTAATGATCCAGCAAAGTCCAAACTCCAACAGTAATCTAATCTCATAATAGACAAGGGATGTAACTCTGGTGTTGGAGCATTGAACGATGCTTTCACTCGATCATAAACCATGCAACGTGATACCAATTGATGTACCTGAGTATGCATATCACGCCATCAATATTGACCAAGGAGTAAGTTGTATGTACGTTGCACTCCAAAATGTCATAACTCCTCATGAGCATGCCGCACGATGCGCGCTCTCTGAGCTAGATGCGGTACTACTCGTACCATGCCATCCTTCCACACTCGAAGAACATGTGCTTCTTC